TGAATGTACTGCTATGTATCTTTGAATCATTGTTAGTATCTGAGCAAATGCGCACCTTATCCCTCCCCTGTCCCAACAAAATTCGACCGATAACAAGTTATGGTTACAGTTGGGTCAGGGGAGGGTAGGTGTGTAGTTTCTCAGATACTGACATTGATCTGTACCTTTCATTTGAATGATCTCGCATTAAGGTAAGTAAGCGATTCGAAAGCTTCGAGTGGTAACCCAAAATAATAATTTATTATTTCTTCCAGGAAATAATAGATCATATCAAAGGAAGTTCCCATAGTGCAGCGTACGCCTCTTTCATGTCGCCTCCAGTAGTCATGCAAATAATATCTTCAATGAAAATAATCATGGGCGAGGATGGAACAAGTAAAGGTTAGTTATAAAATGTAAAATTTCTGGTACATCTCTTAAACAGAGCGATCAAACTTCTGTTCATGTGCGAACGTTGTAATGACTAGGTGGCCTACTTTCAGACAGTCAGAACATGTTGTCTCACAGGAGCTATAGCCTATCAATCGGTTGTTTCATATGTTTTCCTTTCAAATTTTCCGCTGGAAATTGGTGCGCGGCCGGTCAGAATGGATCCCCTCGCACATGCCCGACGCCGTCGGTTTGTCTGTTCTCCGCTAAGTCTTAAATTCTATTGGTCGATGGCCAAGAAGTAAAAAAGCTAATACAACCTCGTTTTAGGGGATGCTTCTCCTCTAGGAGCGCACAGTTCATTTACTTCAGTTTCCTGTGGACAAAATGCTGTCTCTTAGGAGAGGCGTGTATCGCTTTGCGAGTCCACGAATTGAGGGCGAGAGCTTTAATAGCTGAAACCGATTTTACAGCTTGCGTAGAATATTGTTTTCTTTCGTTTGCTCTAAATTGTTTGTCCTAACAGCCATGCAATCTTGTTTCTTCTTTTGTCTCTGTGCCAAAACATCACGAAAAGAGTGTAACGCCACTTTCTTTTCTTTTTTCGCAAAGCATCAATTTCCTTATTCCTATGTCTGTGCTAGAGTTTTCTTGATTATTTTTACCTACATTTCAATAAAAACTTCTGTTAGATTGTTTCTGTACATTGAAGTTTAGAGAGTGTTACTTCTCGTCTCAAGTTGACGTTTTTCCTATGTTCTCAGGAAAGCAGAGGCTTACCAGATTGGCACAGAATTGCAAGTATGTGGAATTATATGAAGAATTAAGCCAGTTTTTTCCCTACAAAGGCTTGAGCCAATTATTTTACAAATATTTTGTGAGGCAGGCCACAGCTGGGAGTCGATATTTCCTTGCCATCTCAGTTGGTGCTTACGAAAGATCTTAAAGATCTATCGCGTCTGGTTCCAGATGCTGAAACAATGCCCCTCATTATTAGCGCTGCGGCACGAGGGTTTTGCTGCCCGCAGAAAGTTTGAGACAGGCCAGCGGTTTACGAGGGGGTCTGCTAGTAATTGATGGAGCACTTTTCAGATGGGGGCCTAATCACAGGATAAAATTTTCCCCATTTCTCTAAATCGTCCCTGCTTACATCCCCTAATGATGATTAAGAAACCATTGCGCAGCGAGAGTAGTCACCTCCAACATTATTTCATGACTTGACTTAATCTTTGTGCTGTTTACATGACAGGTACTTCCGACAAAAGCTGAAAAAGATGGGCTATATAGTGTACGGCCATGATGCCTCAGCAGTAGTACCCATTCTTCTTTACATGCCGGCAAAAACGGTGTAAGTTTTCTTTTTCCTTTGATAAAGTGAATGAAAATAAACTTTAAGAGCTCCAGTTGCGTTGAACCTTTCCTCTTAGTGGGCACACTTAGAAAATTTGCTTCTATGTTAGTTGGGAATTTACGAGAAAAGTGACCAGCTCTGTAACCAACGAGAACTAAAATGTGAAAAAAGCAACCGTTAAAAGCGCGGGGAAACGCGGGTGACCAAGTCGTGATTGGCTTTAGTTTTGCATCTGATTGGTCGAGAGAGTGGCGCGAGTTTTCTGAACCAATTACAGAGCAAAGCAAAGCCAATGCAATCACGGATTACTTGCGAGACTCAATTGAGGGAACACAGATAACGCAGTGGTGGGTTGCTCTCGCGCTTACCGCGAGTCGCCTGGGTCCAGCTTGCTATTGGTTTTCTTCGAGGGTTTTTCTCTGGACCCTTCTTTTTTTCTTCCATCACAAAACCCAAGTCTTATTCGAAATGGAAACAGTAGACGAACAACCATTCTGTGTATGCGTTACTGCTAAATTCTGTTAATTTATCATTCTGATTTCACTTGTCTCTCTTTAAATGAGCTTGTTTCATGTTCCTATCAAGAAAACAGATTGAAATGTATGAAAGAATGCGCTGAAACGTGTGTTTATTACCTCAATCACTGACCCAAGGATGGCGTTTTGTTAAGGTTTAGGACGATTATTCAAACTGTTCAATAATTTGACTTTGTTCCAGTGCCTTTTCGCGTGAAATGCTCAAAAGAGGTGTGGCTGTGGTCATTGTAGGGTTCCCTGCCACTTCACTGATTGAATCGAGAGCAAGGATTTGTCTGTCTGCGTCACACACCAAGGAAATGCTTGATAAGGTAACGTGAGTCAATCCTTCCCGTAATAATCTTACGTCTTCTTCTTTACGAGACGAAATATCTGTCCGAATACTATAACCTTTTCTCTCTTAGAACCTATTTTTCATAACCAACCAGGTGTAAGGGTGAAACTGGGAGTATTTTAAGTTAAATTTCCCTTTTTTCCTCTTTCTTGTTGTTGTTGTTGTTTCCTTTTATTACCATTGGATTCGCTAGCATTTGCTGGTTCATGGCAAATTGCACGCGCGTTTCCTGGCGCACAAGTTTTTTCACACGAGCGTTTCTCTTGCACATGTATTCTCTTTTGTGTTTGCTATTTCTAGTGCGTCTTGCATCACAATTGTTTTCATTTGCGCGCGTTTCTGACCCAGGGTATTAATTTTTCTTTCCTCAGGCTTTGAACGCCATTGACGAGGTTGGGGATATACTTAGGGTCAAGTATTCAAGGCGAAAGAAAAATGCTAAATCGTGAGAACAGAAGGAAGCAACTCTTGGGCAGCGAAAGAATTATAATTTTTGCTTTCGGACAAATGAATGCTTTTAACGTCCAAATAGTTATGTAAAGTAGGAATAATAATTTTAGTCTTCATTTCAACAAATGCCTCTTTCTATGGGATCAGTCATTATTTTTCGCCTGGGGAGGATCAGTTTGAAATGTTTTACCTAGGAATTCATGGGACATTGGATTATTAAGGTATTATTTTTGCCTTAGCTTTCAGCTAAGATTTAAGGGGATCATTCTCTCTAATTTATGAAGGGACCTAGTCCTCGATAGCTCCCAACGTAAATAGGACACAGTTTATGAGGTCCTCAAAGGACGTAACCTATACGGGCCCCGTTTAGCACAAACTCGTTATAGTCAAGTAACCAGAGTCTCGTCCCAGGGCCCCTGGTAAAAACCAATAGAACGATGATAAAGCCTGAGTATAGTTATGTAGGTTGGTAGGAGAAAGTAATTTTAATTTACCCACATTTTCTAGAATTAAAAGCATCTCAAAATATACGTTGGATCCAGAATTGCAAGGAATTGTTTTTGTTATGGCACAACATGGTTAGGTTGCGGGTAATTTGGCGCGAAAAAAATGCAGGGACATGATGTTTGATTTGTAAAGCTTCCACGAGTCACAATCAATACGAGATAAATTGGGTCTGTGCGTATCAAATGAGTTTTTTTGGTAAAAAATAAAATTCTCGTGTGATATTCATATTTCAGCTTGAAAAGCTAGAAGCAGTCTTTTAAGGATAATTTTGATAAAGACGGTGAATTGACCTCTTGTTCGTCTTAGCTCGCGTGATGGGTAAACCGCGTGACCAGATAATCGCGGGACTCGAAATATGAGGCAGAATGAGACGAGGTAACGCTAGTAAGGGGATTAACATAAATTGGAATAGTCATTTACTAAATTACTGCGAAAGTTTCATTGAAAGCCCAAGGAAGAGCAAGAACTGCGTTTTCGCCCATGGCTGCGAGTTACTTATTTCATAAATTACACAAAACAGAACAGTGTAAGTTCCTTTGGTAAAATCCTATAATCCAGTGTTTGACACGGCGGCAAAATATATCTTGTTAAGTCATGACTTATTCATATTATCATAACCCAGAATGAATAGTTGAGAAAGCCTTGCAGGTGCATGTTAATTTATAGGAAAGCGTATTTAATCGCTCAACAATATGAAGCAATCATTGCTCGGTGTTTTTTATTTTTTTTTATTTTTTATTTTCAAGATATGGAGTAATGATTCAATTTTTTTTTACGAGAAAAGGTACTTTCAATTATCGAACACAAAACGACAACATTACACATCGGACAAAGGAAATGACTAAATTACGACTTCTCCTGCTAAGCTTAAGGAAAAGCTGGGTTGATAAAAACACTGCTTAACATGACAATTGTCCGACTTCAGCTGGATTACTACCAAACTCGGCTTCTACGCTTAAAATATTGTTTGTTCATACATCAATAAAACCATAACAACGGTAGAAGTAAGCCGTAGGCTAGCTTGCGAGCACTGAGGCCTTCACTATCAGCGCTTCAGCCTGCGAGTTTTTTTTTGCCCGGCACCGGAGGATAGGCCTTCCACGGGGTCTAACACAATGCCAGGACTTCCTAGCAAAACGTTACCCGACTCTTCTCAAATCTCAGCTTCGGCGGAGAATCGCGCGTCCTGCAGTGCTGAAAAAAAAACATTAGGACAGGCGCGACCTGTTTTATTTATTATGATTGCTCAGTTGTTGATGATAGGTTTAGATCAAACATGCTGGCAAGTATAAACAAACCAAGTCTCGTCAGAACCTTTCATGTAGGATTGACAAGTAAGATACAATAAAGTCTGTCGTATTCTTGAAGGCGCTTTCATCTCATTTGATTGACTTTCATATTATACTGTTACGTCACGCAGAAGCTTGCAGCCTTGCACGGTTAAAAATTTAAAATGGTGGCCGGTACTTATGCAACGCGGCGAGTACAACATTCCATGAAAAATGGCTTTCCAAAGGGATCCAACGGCTTTGCAAGCCATCGGAGAGAGTTAAACACAGAGCTGGAAGTGGATCTCGAGGAGACACCACTGTTTATCGCTGTTATGACATACTTGTCGTATTTCTTCTTGATAATCTTCGGCTACATGCGTGACTTCATGCGCAAGTACGGATTAGAGAAGTCCAAGTCTGTTAAGGAAACAGGAAATCAGGTAAGGATATTACTTTAATTAAAGAATCTTGTCTGTGCTTAGATGAAAGAGAAAGTAATTTTACTTTAGGCTATGCAATCTCTAAACCTTGAATTATAAATTAGGCAATGTAATTCTACCAGCGCTTAACCCTTACGTATAAAGAAACATTTGTGACTCGCTATGGCAAGTACAGCATTGAACCCTGTTTTAGTCGCAATGAAAAAAAAAGAGTAATATTTGAAATGAATTACTACAGTCACAGATAAATTACGACTCGAAGAAACCGACAGAACACGACATTGATTTATTAGTCAAGAGCGTGAAGTTGTAAATAATCCGATTGAAAGCAATGTGTGGCAAGAACTTGCCAGAGTACTTTTTGTCAGTGATTAAAGGAAAGCTATAAGCAAAATTACTTCAACTCTTGTGCCGAAAGCTGAAGAAAATTTTGATATGTCTATACAAAATTAAGGAGGTGTGTTTCATGACCTATGGACTTTTAGCCTAACGCATGCTCAATGGGTGCAATACTCGGTGGCGTGACCAAGCGTGATCTTGGGGCACGTGCAATGAGCAGAACGTTTGCATAGCGGATGAAGAAAATGTTAATTCTTTACGACCTTCTTTCAAACGAATTGGATAAACTCAGGCTGTGATCGTCTCTATTAATTACTAAACGGTGTTCTTTTGAAACCTTCTAATGTCTTGATGTGTGTCGCAAACGGTTGTGCAAGCGTGGAAGCGTAAAGGATATCTTTTTCTTTGATATTTATTTATTTTTTATGAAACAACATTAACATACGTTAACCACGATGAGAAGCATTTGAAAGTTTCACTTTTGATTAAGTTCAGCTACGATCTTAACAAGTGTACTTATTTTTTTCTTAAGTTATTTTTTTGTCACAAATGCAGCAAAACCGCAAAGAAAAAAATAATAAGTCTGAAGAAGTCCATGTGTTGATATCGCTAATATTTTTTTTGCTCAGACGAGTAGAACAATGGTCGATAATGGGTAACTTTGAGTATGTAAACGTATTTTCCTCAGAAAAGTTAAGGACAGGAGAATATCAGATGTTGATATTCTCTAGTTAAGGATTAATATCACGCGTGTTTTCAGAAGTTCCAGAGGTTGCTGCAATTTCTGAAAACACAAGTGATAACAATCCATAATTTTACGAGGAAAAATGCGTTTACTTGTTTATGATGTAAAGGACAAAATTTCTGTTCCCTGTTGAGCAATTCTGTAGGAGCCATTTCAATTTTCAGGTAACCTCAATAAATTGTGTTAATTGACGCACGAATCAGCAGTATTAAATTTTATTTTTGTACAACAACGCCAAAGCAATGAAACCAACCCTGCTGAAAAATAATTTGCTATCAATGGCATTGTAATACTTACATTACATGACCGTTACTCATTGGTCGCCAATTCAGCAAGTTTGCAAATTGAATGACCAAAAGTTTCATCTACCCGCCATGGTGATCAAAAAGACTGTAGATGGAAGTGCTGTCAAAAAGAGGCTTCTTTGTTTATCATGAGTTGATTAACCTTTCTATGGTTTTCACTGATTGCAGGGTTTTGTGCCGCTTTATTCCGACTTTGAGAGTTTCTATACACGAAATCTTTACACTCGTGTGAGGGACTGTTTTAACAGACCCATTTGTAGTGTTCCTGGCGGAGAGGTCGCGCTCGTGGATAGAGAGTCTGAGGACTGGAACTGGACTTTCAGGTAGCTTTAAAGTAATTCCCCCAGAACTTTGTCAAAGTTTGACCGATTAGACCCTACTCTCTCCCCCTCCCCCCCCCCCCCCATTTTTTTGCAAAATGTTAGCCACGCTCCTGTGCAATCCATGTGAACCTTCTGTGATGATTTTACAAGGGATGCATTCAGCGGTCTCTTGTGTCATGTAATAATGCCCAAGTGCCTTTCTGGCAACTCTATTTTACTCTGACAAACTATCCTTCCAGGGTCTTTTTTAACACCAACATAAAGGAAACTTAGAAAGTCTAGAAATGAATCAAAAAGTATATCATATACCAATGAAGCTCTTTTCAACCAGAACAATAACTCCCATCAATTCGCTTGCTCTCAGTAGTTTTTGCCAATTTTCACGACATTCCAGCGAAGATTTGTTTTTATTTTTCAAATAACCTTTGTACACTTTGGTTTTTGCACAACATATCTACTATTTAATTGCTGTTTACGTGCACTTATATCTAAACTTTTACTGATCAGGTTAAAATGAATTGTTTTGTTTAGATACCCAGGAACGACAACAAAGACTGTCAATCTTGCCTCTTATAATTATCTTGGGTTCGCGGAGAATTCTGGGCCGTGTGCAGATGCCGCTGAACAGGCTGTTCGTGAATATGGCATTGCGGGCTGCAGCTCAAGACATGAATATGGTGAGTCAAAGTCCGGGAGATACTCGTTCTGGCGCTGACGTTTGACTGCTGTGTGGGTACTCCCGGAAATGTTGGTGGTGCTGTGCGGCGTGATTTTTGAAGCCCTTTCATTATTTCAGATTTGGATGTAAGAGTTACATGTACCAGCTTTTTCAGAGAAAGGGCAACCAGGCTACTTCTTTAAAATGAGCTAAATAGCTTCCAGTAACAATGTAACTTCGTTTTGTATGGAAACATTGAACTAATACGCGAAAATCATTCGACATTCATCAATAGATTTATAATAAAACCTGGAGCCTGAAAATAACGTCAAAGGCATTATATTTGGAATAAAGTCTATAAAGGGCGCATTCCCTCTCTACGTTTGAGATTTCATTTTGCCTACATTCGACGCTCCATTGATCTTTCAACTTCCAGTTCCTCACAGCATTTCTCCATTTTCCAGGGACCCTTGATATTCATAACGAGTTAGAAGCTCTTGTCGCCAAGTTTGTTGGTAAGCCTGCAGCTATGGTGTTTGGTATGGGATTCGCCACCAACTCTGCAAACATCCCCACCCTGGTGGGCAAGGGAGATCTGATTATTAGTGATGAGCTGAACCACACATCGCTCATCTTAGGAGCAAGACTGTCAGGAGCGAAGATTAAAGTCTTCAAACATAACGGTAAGATCAAGTTGGCACAAGAAGATTGAGGCCTGCCTGGCCAGAGTATGTCTTGATTTCTGTTGCGCGAGGCGAGTAGGAGTATTGCCGCTCTCCTCTGAAACGAGGGCCAATCCATCACAGCTTACTCCTTCCCCAGACTTCTCTGACACTTCGCCGGCACCTGTATAATTCATATCCCTGAATAAAGAAGAGAATTATGTGTGTGTATTCCAGAAACAACACAATGACTCAGCTAGGGATCAAACTCTAGCCCCATCATGAGCCCTGTGGTACCAGTGTTTCTTCTTGGGGTAAGCCGGCGAAAGGTTTGCGAGGGATCTGGTACTAACAGAGGTAGACCTTGCGTAGACTTCTTTGTGGCTTGCTTTTCTCAAAGCCTGGAACTAACTCACAGGCAAGGATTAAAAAAAACGCTCGTGTCGCAGCGGTAATAGTGAGAGCCTACTTGCAAGGACTTCTTTGCGCTTCACTCTTCGCGCTTCACTCTTCACGCTTCACTCTTCACGCTTCACTCTTCACGCTTCGCCCTTCACGCATTACGGAAACGTAGACTACGGCTGATAACTGCAGTGATTTTCACCTTTATCCCGAATTTCTTGCCCCTAATCTTATCTAGCGTTGTTTGAGCTGGTCCTAAGGAGATAGAGATAATAAGACCCTCTCCTTTTTACCTTCATTGCAGATATGACGAGTTTGGAGAAAATCTTGCATGAGTCGGTTTCTCAGGGACAGCCAATAACTCACCGTGCGTGGAAAAAGATTCTCATCATAGTTGAAGGTGTCTATAGGTAACTCAAGTCATCCTTTTAGAACAACACTTTTTGTATGAAACAGTGTCTACAGATATTCCCTTAGGTTGTTAAAAAGGGGGTAAACTTTAGTCTAGTAGGAAAAATAAACCTTGGCTTCAATTTCACATGTGGAAGAGCGCGTACACGAGCTAAGTTTTTGTATGTCATAACAGCGATTAACAGTGGTGTCTCCTCGAGATCCTCTTCCAGCTCTGTGTTTAACTCTCTCCGGTGGCTTGCAAAAATAAATCATCAGCTGAAAAAGCTCTTGATTGTTAAACGAATTCTCCTTGTCAGTAGCAAAGGGAATATATAAAGAACAGTACGGAGAATATGGATACTGATGTAAAGAGTTAGGCTTAATGTTACACGAGTTGGTAACAAATTTTTTTTTCAGTATGGAGGGCTCCCTCGCGAAGCTCCCAGGGATTGTTGCCCTTAAAAAGAAGTACAAAGCTTACTTATACCTAGACGAGGCTCACAGTATTGGTGCCATGGGCCCAAATGGAAGAGGTGTTACTGAATACTTTGGGGTGGACCCTGCTGATGTTGATATCATGATGGGAACATTTACAAAGAGTTTTGGTGCAGCCGGGGGATACATTGCTGCGTCACAGGTAAGAACCACTTGTTGCTTATTTTGGCACCAACACCGACGCTCAAAAAAGTGGTACATATCAATAATTTATGGGAATATTGAGGTTTATTTTATAGCCAACTGTAATGAATCAGTGTACGGCTATGTATCTTTGAATCATTGTTAGTATCTGAGCAAATGCGCACCTTACCCCTCCCTGTCCCAACAAAATTCGACCGATAACATGGTTACAGTTGGATCAGGGGAGGGTAGGTGTGTAGTTTCTCAGATACTGACATTGATCTGCACCTTTCATTTGAATGATCTCGCATTAAGGTAAGTAAGCGATTCGAAAGCTTCGAGTGATAACCCAAAATAATAATTTATTATCTCTTCCAGGAAATAATAGATCATATCAAAGGAAGTTCCCATAGTGCAGCGTACGCCTCTTTCATGTCGCCTCCAGTAGTCATGCAAATAATATCTTCAATAAAGATAATCATGGGCGAGGACGGAACAAGTAAAGGTTGGTAATAAAATGTAAAATTTCTGGTGCATCTCTTAAACTCAGTGATCAAACTTCTGTTCATGTGCGAACGTTGTAACGACTAGGTGGCCTACTTTCAGACAGTCAGAACCAAGTGGTCTTACAGGAGCTATAGCCAACCAATCGGTTGTTTCTTATGTTTTCCTTTGAAATTTTCCGCTGGAAATTGGTGCGCGGCCGGTCAGAATGGATCCCCTCGCGCATGCCCGACGTTTGTCTGTTCTCCGCTAAGCCTTAAATTCTATTGGTCGATGGCCAACCGACCAACAACCTCGTTTTAGGGATGCTTCTCCTCTAACGAGAAAGGAGCGCACAGTTCATTTACTTCAGTTTCTTGTGGACAAAATACTGTCTCTTAGGAGAGGCGTGTATCTCTTTGCGAATCCACGAATCGAGGGCGAGAGCTTTAATAGCTGAAACCGATTTTACAGCTTGCGTAGAATATTGTTTTCTTCCCTTTGCTCTAGATTGTTTGTCCTAACAGCCATGCAATCTTGTTTCTTCTTTTGTCTCTGTGCCAAAACATCACGAAAAGAGCGTAACGCCACTTTCTTTTCTTTTTTCGCAAAGCATCAATTTCCCTATTCCTATGTCTGTGCTAGAGTTTTCTTGATTATTTTATCTGCATTTGAATAAAAACTTCTGTTAGATTGTTTCTGTACATTGAAGTTTAGAGAGGGTTACTTCTCGTCTCAAGTTGACGGTTTTCCTATGTTCTCAGGAAAGCAGAGGCTTACCAGATTGGCACAGAATTGCAAGTATGTGGAATTATATGAAGACTTAAGCCAATTTTTTTCCCTACAAAGGCTTGAGCCAATTATTTAGCTGAACCACAAATATTTTGTGAGGCAGGCCACAGCTGGGAGTCGATATTTCCTTGCCATCTCAGTTGGCGCTTACGAAAGATCTTAAGGATCTATCGCGTCTGGTTCCATATGCTAAAACAATGCCCCTCATTATTAGTGCTGCGGCACGAGCGTTTTGCCGTCCGCAGAAAGTTTGAGACCGGTCAGCGGTTTACGAGAGGGTCTGCTAGTAATTGATGGAGCACTTTTCAGATGGGGACCTAATCACAGGATAAAATTTTCCCCATTTCTCTAAATCGTCCCTGCTTACATCCCCTAATGATGATTAAGAAACCATTGCGCAGCGAGAGTAGTCACCTCCAACATTATTTCATGACTTGACTTAATCTTTGAGCTGTTTACATGACAGGTACTTCCGACAAAAGCTGAAAAAGATGGGCTATATAGTATACGGCCATGATGCCTCAGCAGTAGTACCCATTCTTCTTTACATGCCGGCAAAAACGGTGTAAGTTTTCTTTTTCCTTTGATAAAGTGAATGAAAATAAACTTTAAGAGCTCCAGTTGCGTTGAACCTTACCTCTTAGTGGGCACACTTAAAATTTGCTTCTATGTTAGTAGGGAAGTTACGAGAAAAGTGACCAACTTTGTAACCAACGAGAACTAAAATGTGAAAATGTAAAAGCGCGGGGAAACGCGGGCGACCAAGTCGTGATTGGCTTTAGTTTTGCATCTGATTGGTCGAGAGAGTGGCGCGAGTTTTCTGAACCAATCACAGAGCAAAGGAAAGCAAAGCCAATGCAATCCCGGACTACTTGCGAGACTCGATTGAGGGAACACAGATAACGCAGTGGTGGGTTGCTCTCGCGCTGACCGCGAGTCGCCTGGGTCCAGCTCGCTATTTGTTTTCTTCGAGGGTTTTTCTCTGGACCCTTCTTTTTTTCTTCCATCACAAAACCCAAGTCTTATTCGAAATGGAAACAGTAGACGAACAACCATTCTGTGTATGCGTTACTGCTAAATTCTGTTAATTTATCCTGATTTCACTTGTCTCTCTTTAAATGAGCTTGTTTCATGCTCCTATCAAGAAAACAGATTGAAATGTATGAAAGAATGCACTGAAACGTGTGTGTATTACCTCAATCACTGACCCAAGGATGGCGTTTTGTTAAGGTTTAGGACGATTATTCAAACTGTTCAATAATTTGACTTTGTTCCAGTGCCTTTTCGCGTGAAATGCTCAAAAGAGGTGTGGCTGTGGTCATTGTAGGGTTCCCTGCCACTTCACTGATTGAAGCGAGAGCAAGGATTTGTCTGTCTGCGTCACACACCAGGGAAATGCTTGATAAGGTAACGTGAGTCAATCCTTCCCGTAATAATCTTACGTCTTCTTCTTTACGAGACGAAATATCTGTCCGAATACTATAACCTTTTCTCTCTTAGAACCTATTTTTCATAACCAACCAGGTGTAAGGGTGAAACTGGGAGTATTTTAAGTTAAATTTCCCTTTTTTCCTCTTTCTTGTTGTTGTTGTTGTTGTTGTTGTTGTTTTCCTTTTATTACCATTGGATTCGCTAGCATTTGCTGGTTCATGGCAAATTTCACGCGCGTTTTCTGGCGCACAAGTTTTTTCACACGAGCGTTTCTCTTGCACATGTATTCTCTTTTGTGTTTGCTATTTCTAGTGCGTCTTGCATCACAATTGTTTTCATTTGCGCGCGTTTCTGACCCAGGGTATTAATTTTTCTTTCCTTAGGCTTTGAACGCCATTGACGAGGTTGGGGATATACTTAGGGTCAAGTATTCAAGGCGAAAGAAAAATGCTGAATCGTGAGAACAGAAGGAAGCAACTCTTGGGCAGCGAAAGAATTATAATTTTTGCTTTCGGACAAATAAATGCTTTTAACTTCCAAATAGTTATGTAAAGTAGGAATAATAATTGTAGTCTTCATTTCAACAAATGCCTCTTTTTATGGGATCAGTCATTATTTTACGGCTGGGGAGGATCAGTTTGAAATGTTTTACTTAGGAATTAATGGGACATTGGATCTGATTATTAAGGTATTATTTTTGCCTTAGCTTTCAGCTAAGATTTAAGGGGATCATTCTCTCTAATTTATGAAGGAACCTAGTCCTCGATAGCTCCCAACGTAAATAGGACACAGTTTATGACGTCCTCAAAGGACGTAACCTATACGGGCCCCATTTAGCACATACTCGTTATAGTTAAGTAACCAGAGTCTAGTCCCAGGGCCCCTTATTCGCCATCCTAAAATTTGAGGGTAGAAGCGCCCTGGAACGAGGTTGGTAAAAACCAATAGAACGATGATAAAGCCTGAGTATAGTTCTGTAGGTTGGTAGGAGAAAGTAATTTTAATTTACCCACATTTTCTAGAATTAAAAGCATCTCAAAATATACGTTGGATCCAGAATTGCAAGGAACTGTTTTTGTTATGACACAACATGGTTTGGTTTTCAAAGAATTGTTTGACGATGTAATTCAAAGGGGGAAAAAACATTGAAATACCAACCATTTTAAATGGTTAAAGTTAGGTGTCGTATTTTTTCAAGCTCTATAGTTGGCATAAAACTCGCGAGACTGTTTAGTTTGAAATTAAGAAAAGGGAAGCTGATTGAGTCACGTTGACTAAAAATTTGTATAGCCTAGTTTAGCTCAGTTATACAAATTTTCGTTTACGGTTTTTTAACCATCAGAGTTTAAAGCTTGACAAATAAAAAAATAAAGTCAGTGAATGAAAACTTAATTCGTGTCGAGAGTGAATCAGATGTGTGTTGTGACGCAGTTAAGAAATATCTGAGATGCTACCAGCGCCTTTTCTCATGTTCTCCTAAACTCCCATCTAAGTTTTTACCCCGGCCACAGTTCACCCGATACTGACAAATTTATTCATGACCCATCACCAATTTCACCGGTATTATGCTCTTTTTTTTCCTTTTTTCAGCCTGAGAAAAATATTACGTTTTCCCACTTGCAAAATTTTATTTTGCGCCTCGGTGGACTTTTGATGGAAGTCAGAAAGCTTTGCTAGTTACTGGGTCTTGACTGGATGTTTAGCTTTAATAAACAACAAACGAGTGTCTTTGTAATTACTGCTCCCGCTTCCCGCCCTCCCCGGCCCCTGTTCTCCCAGGCTCCCGCCCCCTGTCCCCTTCCATTTTAGATGACGCAAAATATGGCTCTATGTAACTAATATATTTCGTTTCACGTCAACTCAGCCTTTAGGATCAAAGACACATACACTTATAATTAGTCTCTGGAATTTTTTGATGGCTGTTTGGCACATTATTCAGCATGTGCTCCTGGAATATGCAACCGAGCTGCGAAAAAATTTAGGTTTTAAATATCGAGCATCTTTCCTTAAATAGCTGTGGATGAACTGGAAAAAATAGCAGGAGGAGAGGGAAACAAACATTTTTTACGCATATTTTTGTTATTAAAAAAATTCGTGTCTGTAAAGGCCCAGAACTTGTACTGGCCGGAACCACTTCACCCAGCGTTAAAAAGGTGAAATCTCACGCCGTAGATTTGCTCTCATGAGCTGAAAAACAATGAACGAAAAATAGAATCGGCACAAATCATTCATACACTTTGGACGTTTGTTTAACCATTTCAGTGACCTATTTGACGTCCGAAGTCAATACTCAAATTCTCCCAGCGGAAATCACCACTCAGAGGTCAAACGAGGTCAAACTGGCTCCTCCCCCTTACGCCAGAAAAATTATTTCGAATTTATTGCGTTGTGTAAACCATTCTGGAGGCGGAAGAGACTCCACCATGTGTAAGTTGTAGAATAAGGTAATTTTCGATTGAGTGTTGAAAGTAATTCAGGATTCCATTGGTTTTGATTTACTTTGCTTTGTGTTTGCTGCAGAAAACTCACCCCACCCTCTCAACCAATCAGATGCAAAACAAAATCCAATCGCACCTTGGTCATCTGCGTTTTCCCGCTTTGGGCGGTACACTTGTTTTTTAATTGAGTTCTCATTGGCTATTGACGTACTTCCTTTGCTCTGATTGGCCCTTGTAATTACTTTGGTTTTGATTTACGGCACTTAATCACTGACCATAATTCTTTGAGAAACCTCATTCTATGTTAAGAGACCATCAGGCACCGTCTGTGAGGCTACATTTCAGAGAGAGACTTACCGATTTCCTCTCTTCTAACGTGAGTTCCTCTAGTCCCATAACAAACGCGACCTTGGTTAGCGCGCATTCGACCGTCATGTCTCCCCCGAGGACTACTCCTAACTCAACAAGGCCCTGTGTGAATAACGAATCACAATCTAAAACTCGGACATTTTGTGGTTTTCGAGATTTGTTTAGCTTTAGTTCTGTAGCGGGTACATCTACAAAAGCATATCTTGATGAAAGCAAAAACGGCAAACGACCAGCTCGTTATCTATTAATCTTTCCTGGTACTGCCTAAGTCTTTCTTAAAATCTTTCCTAATATTTTCCTAGGAAATCTAGGTTCCTTCTCCTCAAAATTCTCTACAAAGCTGACGAGAAGATTGAGGTCAATGGAGAGTGTCAGTCACCTTCCTTCCCTCTCCCTTTAAATACTTAAAAATGTACACAATGAATAAGGTCCTGGAAAACATATTCTTACAAAACTGCATTAGGCATTTAGTCAGTACCTTTTCCACAAACTCGCTAGAAACATCATGTGGCCCTCCACGACAAGGACAACAGGTGACAATGACCACACCCTTGTCCGTCGCTTCTTTGACCGCCTCAGTAAGATCAGTTCTCGAGTCTGGTATATTGCCACTTCCATATGTTACCAGGACAACACCCTCAATTGGAGGCTCTAAACACCCTTTTATCTGAATATAAGCAAATAGAAGGTAACAGAAAGGATCAAAAGCTAGGCAAACATCATTTGGGTTTGGAGGGCAAATCCAGTGTAAATTTTAAACCCTTTGTAACTGGTTTTCTTTGCTTTAATTAATTTGTTTCATCCTGGCGTTAATTAGTATCCATATTCTCCATACTGATCTCTTTACATTTCCTTTTCATTTTTTGTTGGAAAATCAAGAGCTTCTAAATTGGTGATAAAAGTTTTTCTACATCAATCTTCTAAAATGACATTGCAACATACCATTTGTATTGGGATACCAGGGAACATAGGAAGTAATGCTATGTTTTGGCTCATCTTTGTGTGGAGTGTGAAACATCCTTTATGCCTTGGATCACCAGAATAATTCCATTCAACTAAGTAATGACAAAAATTATTTTCAATAAATACCGGTAGCTGGTCAACCTGTTGAATTAAAACAGCTGTGATTGCATGCTACACAAGCAGAGCATGGTAAAATCTGTGCAATGAGCTGCTGAAACTGGCAAAAATTAGGTGCTAAAATGCTACTAAACTACTTTTAAAGGGCTACTTTTATAAATAAATTTTATATAGGGCTTATCAGATCAATGACTCTAAAGCATTGGCTCTCTTGAAAGGCAACCAGTAAAAGTACAAGTTAGCTTGGCAAAAAGGCAATGGCTGGAACTGATGACATCTTTCACACAGGCTTTGGTACTGTCCTGCTAGCTTGGTTAGTGTACAGAACAAGACATGAGCATATACCATAGACAGAAGAAATTATTTATAAATAAACTCATTACCATCAGTAAAAGGTTATGCACTTACTGCCTCCATTATTGCTTAGTTTTGCCAGAGGAGGATAGCTTGGTGAGTCAAAAACAGAAAAACTCTTTGCATTTACTTTGGTTGATTTATTTCCTCTAAACAGCTTTCCATTAAAGAAAATTGTCACCTGTAGAGGTGGAAAGTTGTTTCTTAGGTGCCTGATATATAAGTGCAAAAGTACATTAAAATGGGTTTTATTCAAGTCAAAATCGCTTGCATAGTAGTCATTTCCTTTCACCTGGCTCACTTTCATCCAGCTTAATGCTACATACATTTACCCCTTCCACCCCCGAGATCTAGTAAATCTATGTTCCTACCTCTGAAACTGCATAGTGCCCAGCAAACAACAGTGCACCACCCAGGTTATCTTTTGCATCTGTCTCTTCCTCATAAATTGGGGTCTGTGATAAAAGGAGACAGGTGAAGGTTTTAATGAACTTAACTGACCATGTCTCTGTAAAGTGAAAAATAGTATTTGACCAGAAATAGACACTAGCACAGCCCAGAACCTATTGTAATGAGATTTCAAAACTTATGCAGAAATCCTAGATTCAGGCAATATAAGGGTTATTTTTTTATTACTAACAAGAAAATTAAAAGTTTTGTATACTTTCTACTCAATTACAGATTTTAAAATTCAGGTACTTCACTGCTTCATAATGCAATTGAGTGTAGTTTTAGTGTGACTTTACCACAGGTTCCATCTATCTCAGATGCCAATATTCTTACCCACATGATTCCTTGACAATCTTTTGATCTTGAATTGTTCTATTAATCATACTGGCACTCAATCAGCCTACAAAATAACACTTGGAAATTTTAACATGGTTTACCTGTGCTCCAGTGAGGACCACAGGTTTCCCAAGATTCTCAAGCATGAAAGACAGTGCTGATGCAGTATAAGCCATAGTATCAGTCCCATGTAAGATCACAAACCCATCATAGTCATCATAGTTATTGGCAATCTCTGTGGCCATGTCAATCCAGTCCTTTGTGCAAGTATCTTTTGATTCCCGTACAGTACCAGCCTTCTTGATATCATACAATATTTTGCTGTTATCCTGATCATGTACACTAAACAAAAACCAGTCAAATAAGCCAATTTTTTAATTATCTCAAGGGTAAGAATGAGAATAATTAAAAAACATTACCGGGTATGTACTTGTTTATCATACATTTCTAACAGTTCATCGTGATCAGTTGTTGAATGCCAAGTCTATAATTTCTTTAGTTATCCATGAGATACCCAAGATCTAAATTACATATATAGTTAACATTTCTTCCACTTTATGGATATATTTTAAAATATTAGTTTTGAAAGTACAGCATTCAACAAGAACCTCCAAGTGATATTTTCTTCCCTTCTCATGTACCAAGTCTGGCAAAAGTTCTAACAGCTTCCCCTTGCAGAGGCACAAATCTAGTCTGCCTGAGCTCAGTTGTTAAATTAATCTTTAAGATGGAAGGCTCAACTATTGAAAAGTGTATTTCAACAAAAGAAGATTTATTTTAATGAGCTTGCAAGCTTGAGTCCCCATCAGGCATCAAATCTCAGATCTTCAGATTCTGAAAGGTAAAACTTACGGCATGGCCAATCTCTCTGTTACACCCACTTTTCTTGCTTGAGGCGCAGTGAAAGCAGCATCATGAAGCAATGGATGCCTTTTCAACTCTTCAATGAATAAGTCCAAGTGTAGAATGCAAGGCTCTGAAATAGGAGGATTTTTCCTTTCCACTCACTCTGATTCTCATTGTTTTTTCATGCCATACACACTTCATGATTGGAAATGATGCAAGATATCTTTATCAATTTCACCTTCACAAGGGAAGTGACATGCATAACATCTAAAACTATTAAGTCGATGAAAAATTATAAATTAATTGGTATCATACCATTTTCAGAGAGCTTTTTCATTCCAACTGTTCCTCCAGTATATAGAACAAGGACCAGTGAGGACTTGGCAGGCGTCATGTTACTCATAACGAAGAGATGGAGAATCTGGAAGCAGCTTATTGACAGGAGTACTCTATAAACTCTCTTGCGCACTGCCTGGTGTCACTTCAGTGGCTTCATACAGCCTAAAGATAGAAGCAAGAGTAGGAACAGGAAGCTAAGCACAGCATTTTCTCAAGCATCCCCTCCCGTCACATCACCTACAAATCCCTTGAACCTGAGTAATTAATTGAGGAGGTGATCTGCCTCCCCTACTGACAATGGTTGATCGCAATAGGCCACCTCCGGATAAAATAACAGTCGAGAAATATAGCTTAAAAAACGACATAGGAACAGTAGAGAAGAAGTCTGAATTAATTCATCCAGCACAAAAATGCATAGATGACGTTACCTAAATTTCCTCACAATAAAGTTCGACGTGCGACACCATTTTCGCTTTCTGTCTTTGTCAATATTCTTCAAAATATTGTACAGCTTACTTTTATGACACTTTATTTAGCGGTTACTAACATCAAATCCGTGACCCATCCACTAACCCCACTTTTTTAGCTCATTTGGTCACGAAACCACGTAGAACATGTCACGCTACTTAGCCACTGTGCGAACTAAATCCGCTGGCCTAGTACAGAGGAACACCGGTTAATATGTACATACCGTGAAAAGTGTATGCAGTGAATATGTCACGCAAACGACAACAAATAAAACCTAGAAATTGGAATTACTCATAATGAAGGCTTTCCTTGTTAATAATCAATTTATATCTCCAGTCTGCGTCTGGAAAAGCATTCTACCGTTCACCGCCAGCATCCACCAACATTATAAAAGAAGCCGGGAAATCGAGAAAATTTGGAATCATTTCGAAGTTCTTCGCAAATGTTCGGGGATACTCGGAACGGGTGGATGACATTACATTAGCCAAACTTCTCTGCGGTTGTCGTATTTGAAAAGTATTTACGAAAGGACAAATACCATCAGAGAGCACGTATAAATAGAAAAGTACATTTATCAAAATAAAATCCACTTTTCATTTTGCAAAAGTGAGGATTAATGAGCGACTGGTGGCATGCAAAGAAGTTTGAATCCACATCACGCGTTAAATTCCTCACAAATGATCGGAGCAGTTCTCTAATTAGTGTTTTATTTTCAGTAGAGAATTAAAGAAAATTGAAAAATTTATTGTCTAGGTCAGATTATTAGTGTGATACACATCAATAAAAACCATCACAGCACTAGTTCAATTCTGAAGCCTAAATGTTTTCTAAGATATGAAAAAGTTGAAATTTCGTGCGTCAGAGCTTGCCATCGAGGGCGAACTACCTGTCAAAGTTTGAAACGGTTTGGTTACAGAGCTGACACCGGCCTATTTACAAACACCAAAGGTGAGAAAGTATTGCATCCTCCTGTTTACATGTGTTGTGCGACAGTAAAACTCTTGTTGGTATTTCTCTGTTACATTCTCTGCTGTAACAATACAGCTTTCGAAAGCTGTTTAAACGCAGATCATGAGAAAGTAGATATTAAAAGAGTGATTTGGCTTTTTTTAATGCTTCAACACCACAAAGCTTTGATCAGTGAGTTTTACCCAAGATGGAGGCAATTTTTCATATCCTTATTGCGGCCAGTATTGTTGCTCTTGTCTCAGGCCACGGCCGGCTTATTGATCCACCCAGCAGGAACTCAGCATGGAGGTACGGTTTTGAAACGCCGAGGCAAGACACAGATAATGAGCTTAACTGTGGCGGGTTTAATGTGCAGTGGTCTACGAACAAAGGAAAGTGCGGTGTGTGTGGAGACGCCCATCACTTAAAGCCTGGTAAAGCTCTTTATACCCATCCCGGAAAGTACGCGACGGGAACCATCACTAAGACGTACAGAGAGGGACAGGAAATTAAGGTGGTGGTAGACGTAACCTCCAACCATCAGGGATACTTCACCTTCAGCGTGGGCGACATTGGCTCTCCTCCCATAACTCAAGAGAAGCTGAGCTACGTGTTGAGGCAGCCCAATGGCGACACCAAGTGGAAAATCAACTCGCACGGGAACGACGTGTTTACGATCAGGCTAAGACTTCCCAGGGGCTTGACATGTGATCACTGCGTGTTACAGTGGTGGTGGCGTGTGGGAAATAACTGGGGATGTGATGGAAAAAGAGACTGTGGAATGGGTAAAGGACCACAGGAAACCTTCGTAAACTGCGCCGATATTAGGATCACGAAAAGCGACGGAAGTGTGCCACCACCGCCTGCTCCAACCCGCCCCCCGCCACCTACAGAGGCACCTCCGGAGCCTCCCAAGCCTACCAAGCCCCTACCCACCAATGCTCCTAACCCGGAAGGTTGCAGGTCAATACCTCCGTACAAAAGTAAACAAATGGACGACTGGTGTCGCAGAAATTGCGCCACAGGATACTGCCCAGCAACTCACTGCAAGTGCTCAATGTAAAGAAGATCCCCATTACCTGAAGTTTGCATTGAATAAACTTGACAATAAGACTGTACTCGGGTTTGACTTTTGATTTCATTCAATGTATCTGTGGGTTAATAAAATGTATATCATACCATTGAAAAGACTTATGTGTTTCTTCGAGATGACTGAGTTGTCTCTGCTTTGCGTTCAACTTCATATTTCACCGTTACCAACATACCTGTGATTCCTTCTCCTCCTCAGCCCTTCACACTGCGAACTAAATATTTCCTGAAGATTTCTTAACTTTTCAACCACACTTTACAATGAGTCAGTTTAATTATGACGAGTAACTATACATTTGTAACCACTCTTTTTCCACCAAATCACTGAGACTGGCAAATGTTCGATGAAAACCTGCACTGTTTTATTCTTAATGAGAACTCCATGAGCCTTTCCTGAACTTTCTTAAAGGCTGGTATTTCATATGGAGGTCGATTTTGATTCTGGTGCGTTTCCTTCATTGACACGAGATTGAATATTTAAGCACCCTTACACATGCCCGTGCGAATGTATATCACCCCTCTCTGTGAGAGGGGGGATAACCCGTAATAATAAGAAGCCTGGCATTCCCCCTGGTGCAAAGGACCCCCCCCCCTTCACACCCCACTTGTTACATAAAATTAACCTTACGACGGTCAAGCGTTTAAAATACAACCAGCAGGGGGAAGGAGAGGAGAGCGATACGTAATTTCTGCCGACGGTCATTTTTTTTTTTTTTTGTGTATGTTTCAAAGATTTGCGCGACGCTTGAGCGCGAGAACGAACATGATCTTATTTTCGCGCTCATTAAATAAATCTTCTGCAGCTCTTGTTCCATCCACATAACATATGAGAGAATAAAGGGCCTGTGGCCAGACTAAAATTGGCGTGAAACCGTGGAGTCTAAACAGAATTTGGCGGTTGGAAAATAGTTTTTGCCCCATCTTCTCATCGGGTAAAACTTTCATATTAATCTAACTTTTACTATACCTCCTATTTCGGCATTAGGCAACGATTTTGACGCCAGAAACTGAGTTTAACGCAGAACTGTACGCAAGGATTTGGAAACGACCACGAGGATTAAGCGAAGACTGTTTTTTTCTTTTGTTTTCTTTTCTTCTTCTTCCTCTTTATTTTTTTGGAGGTTTTTATTGAGTTATTTAAGACACGTTTCCCAAAGGAACGGGCAACAAACGCGAAGATTACGTGCGCTACATTGATCAACTTTGCTTTTACTAGCGTTAGAAATTTTGAAATGTAAAAGTGCGAATTGCCCTCGGATAAACCACGCTCATTTAAATCCATTTATCTTTATCGTGTAGTGAGCAAAATTGATGAAAACCCTTCACTCTCCAGTACCCTCTCTCTTCCTAATTTGCAAACTAAACAACACCTATGTATGTACCTTATAAAATTTAAATACCTACTTTTTTGTGATAAAAATTTAATTCGAGCTCAGTTCATATAAACACGACTATTTAATTTTCATCACATCTTCGATTCTCCACAATAACTTGCGTTTTACTCCAAACGAAATCAGCATTTTTCGTGATATTAAACGTGATATAGAAGTGTATCGTCTCTAGAACAACCTTTTGTTTTTGCCATGTGTGTAGCTAGATCTCAAATGTGTTTACATCTTGTGCGCTTTTATTTACAAACCAAAAAAGTGTGAGTGCACTGTTTGCATATCCAGTACGTATGTCGTCCAAACGCCATAAATTCTGAGCAAGGTTTGAACACATTCTACTGATGTTAAAATAAGCGGACAGCCAACCTGTTTCAACTTTACAGACCAGATGACAGTCGTCAACCCACGTAAGGGCGTTGCGTATGAGATAGGGGGAGGGGGAATATCCGCCTGTGATCCCCTCTTTGTTGTGAAAAAAGTGATACTTTGTAAAAGAGCACTTTGACGTGTTTCAGAGTGTTAATGCGACACTTGGGCAAGAATCCCCCCCCCTGCCACCTATGCGCCTACCACGTTTTAAATTGACCTGCTGCTCGAATGAGATCACAAACGCTAAGTAGGTGCCATACTGAGTTTTCGTGAAACATGGCAGCGAATTTGCAAGTTTTTATCGTACTAAACGTTATCACTTTAGTTCTTGGTCACGGTAGCCTTGTCGACCCAGCTAGCAGGAACTCGGCTTGGAGGTTCGGTTTTGATACACCGACGCAGCATACTGATAACGAGCTGAATTGCGGTGGCTTCAGCGTTCAGTGGAACACGAACAAAGGAAAGTGCGGCGTGTGTGGAGACGCGTACCATTTTAAGCCTGGTAAGGCTCTCTACACTCACCCTGGAACGTTCGCCACGGGAACCATCACTAAGACGTACAGAGAGGGACAGGAAATTACGGTGATGATAGAAGTTACCTCCAACCACCAGGGATACTTCACCTTCAGGGTGGGCGACATTGGCTCTCCTCCCATTACTCAAGAGAAACTGAAATATGTATTGAGGCAGCCTAATGGCGACACCAGGTGGAAAATCAACGTGCCCGAAGACAAAATCTTTGAGATCAAGCTGAGACTTCCCAAGGGCCTTACATGTGATCACTGCGTGTTGCAGTGGTGGTGGCGCGTGGGAAACAGTTGGGGATGCGATGGGCCTAATGACTGCGGAATGGGCAAAGGACAACAGGAAACTTTCGTAAATTGCGCCGACATCAGGATCACGAAAAGCGACGGAAGTGTGCCACCACCTCCTCCAACACGGCCTCCCCCACCCACTGAGAAGCCTCCGAAGCCTACCGAGCCTCTGCCTACCAATGCTCCTAATCCGAAGGGCTGCAAAGCCGTAGGCCCCTGGACAGGCAACAAAGCCATAGACGAGTGGTGCGTCAAAAACTGCGCCAAAGGTAACTGTCCAGCCAACATGTGCAAGTGTCCGAAGTGAAAGGAACTGTAGTCTGAATGACGTCAAGTCTCTCGCTGGTATCAAGATTAAAGGAGTTCTGTGTAGATTAAGGGAAATAAAATGTATGGTTTGATAAATATCTGCATTTTAATAAATTCAAAAGGTGTGGGATGCTTGTGTAAATTTGTTTCAATATTGACAGCTGTTGCGCTGTGTCAACCCTTTGACTCCTAAGAGTGATTAGCATCCAATATCTCCCTACAACATTAAGGTCACGAGAATAAAAAAAAATGATCACCAACTAACAAAGCTGTTGATTTTTTAACAAATTATCCCTGACTACGCCTTAGGAAATGACTAAAAAATGGTGGGAGAATATGCTGATGTTACTGATACTGATGTTAGGTTGTAAAGGGTTTAAGAGTTTTCGACCATGATACTCAGTGTGACCTTATATAAATCGATAACTGTTTTAATTGTTATTTCTCAAAGTCTCGTTAGAAAATCAAATGCTTAAAATTTGGATGGCTGATAAATTTTGCTTTGAAAGCTTTTCCGTCGATCAAAATTAGTTTTCCTATCTGAAAAATGAAACGATGGAAAGGCGATCGTAATTACTCACGGATTGAAAAACTTATTTACGTATTTATTTTTACAATGCAGGACTTTTACAGATCTAATACATGGCTTACAGCGCGATTCAAAAAATACCCAGCTGAGTATACATATATATATATTGCACGCTTTGTCAAACCATAAAAACACCAAAAAAAGAACGAAGCTAATATCCAGCCTCCTTGACCAAACAAACTTGGTCAGTAAAGGATTCATTATACAGTAAAAAAGATTTCGCTCTATTTAGAATCAAGATTGATTTGTTTATTTCGAAAGCCAGGAAAGAAGGCCAACTATGTTGTAGGACAACAAACCAACAAGAGTATCTTATGTCTTCTATATTTTGACTGTCTTCTCCCGTTTTTTGCGACTTCATCACCGACATTGTCCAAGAATTACGATCTCTGTAAGTCTACTCCGCGCTCTTCTTTTTCTTGCGCAAGATCAAAGCGGGCAATCCCAAGCCCATCTTGCCCACTTGGGTTGCCGATCAGAACAGAGGATTCGTTGGATATTGCATACTGGCACCGCTAGTGACATAATAAGAGATGTCACAAAGCGGGGCACGGTGGCCAAAGTGTGAGATCTGTTCAATTTTAACACTCGAAACAACAAGTTGCAAAATCTAAAAAATTTCAAGGTTGCACAATTTTGATTGCACTCAGTTAAGTTACAAGCACCTGAAAAAAAAAAAAAAAAAAGAAAAACACCTTTGACAGTCAAAAAAGACCTTTTCATACTCTTTTTTTTCTGAATGAATAATGATAACACCAATGACTGAAAAAAATTCGGAATATCTTTTTTGTTTGCTCTTGAATTATCCATTTAATAAGGGTTATAAGGAACAAGAGTTCCATAAAGAGATTTTCTTCGTATTTGAAAATGATCACAATTCTTGAGATGAATTCCATGTTTTTATTTAATTCTGAAATAATCAGCGAGTAACAATCTTTTAAGAACTATCTGCTGCTATATCCGGGTAAATGATCTTCAGATTAAGCAAGCCGCAATTTATTTACCTAATATAAACTTAGTGCATATACGTAAAAGTTCGTTGCCTTTCAATACTGTTATTCACATTTACAGTGAGTGGAAGGGCAATAACCCGCTGCGCAGTTAGATGCACACCAGACATCCATATTGGCATCGCCGGTCCAGGCCCCTGTGGCTTTGCAGACTCCTTGAGGTGGTGCAGTTGGTGGTGCTGTGGCGCCAGGGCCTTCTGTTGGGGGAGGATTCGTTGCAGGCGCATCTGTATTGGGTTTCTCTGTCATGGGCGCGTTCGTGTTTGGAGCTTCTGTAGCACCCGGTCCTCCCGCAGACACAATCTTGATATCCGCGCAGTTAACAAAGGTCTCTTGTTTCTTGCCCAGTCCTACTCCGCAGTTGCCGTTTTCGTCACAGCCCCAGTTGTTTCCCACAGTCCACCACCATTGCAGTACGCAGTGATCACATGTCAGGCCTCTGGGAAGGTTAAGCTTAATTGTGAACTTTCCATTTTGGGACGAGTGAAGCTGCCATGTGTTTGAGCCATCTGGCTGTAACAGAACGTATGTCAACTTCTCCTGAGTGATGGGAGGTTTTTCCAGTTTTCCAAGGCTGAATCGAAAGTATCCTTGATGGTTTGAGGTAATATCAATCACAACTTCGATTACTTGACCCTCCTTGTAGGTCTTTGTTATAAAACCATCACTTGCGTACTTTCCAGGGTAGACATACTTGGGGTTTTTATCGTGATACGCATCACCGCACACGCCACATCTCCCATTGTTAGGCCCATTCCATTGAACACTGAAACCTCCGCAGTTCAGCTCGTTGTCTGTGTACTGTCTCGGACGGTTAGGGAAAAATCTCCAAGCAGAGTTTCTGCTGGCAGGATCTATCATTCTTCCGTGGCCAGCCACAGCGACTATCAAGCAGGCAGTCGCGAAAAGGCGAACGATTTCTTTCATTCTAATCTAAATTGTCACAAACGTAACTGATGATACTCGGGTTGACCCGGCTAAATCTCCTTAGAAAATGAACTTACACAAGAGAGACTCAAGTTTAAATAAAGTGCTACTGAGGCTAATGAAGACTCTTTATAAGTATCAAACAATAGGGTGACAAATTGCGTCCTTGAAAAGAAAAAAAATAGATGCATCTACACGTACGCTATTCCGGGGATGAAAAGGATTTTCACCTTAAAAGGCTGGGTAAATAGGCTTGCTGTATTCTTTGTGGTTTTGTAAATATTGCTTGGGGCGTAGATTCTGTGAAAAGGCAAAATATTTATTCAGGAGGTTGTAGGACCAACAAAACTGAACAAATGTTTCCGGTTAACAATATCGCAATATATAATATTATCATTGAGCCAACAATGACCAATATTTCAAGATCGATGGTTGTAATAAAAAAAAAAGCAAAAGCTTCGGAACTCCGAGAAAAAGAGGGAGAAACACGCCCTAATAAACAAGATCCATGTATTTTAATCTTCGCGTTTAAAAGATCACTTATCGGATGAATTCATGAGACCAATAGGAAAATGTCACAGTATTAACCTCAGACTCCTCTAAAAGCGATCGTCACTAATATCCAAAGAAGTACATTTTTGGGGGGAATCTTTCAGTATAAAATGCTTTATTTGCCAGCGAAATAATTCAATTATTCGCCTTTTTTTTTTACTTTCGCTGATGTCTCAGAATATCTATAATTTATGAGAAAGCACTGTTTTTAGGAAATATTAGATTGGCTACTGATTTTCTTACACCGAAGTGTTCAATAACTCGAACTTAGAAAATTCTAATTTGACCTTGATGTTTCTCTATGCTGGGGCATTTTAACGAACGGTTTGCCAGAGAGGCGTATTTAAACTTTAAACAGTTCGCTCATACTCAACAAAAGATTGCTTTATTTTTCTTGTCTAGATAAGCACGTAACTCAAATTGCATTGTTAACCTCATTCCTTCATTGTTCTATATTTTGTATTTAATATGTAAAGCGTCAGGCCGCCGAGAAACAATAATGTCAGCGGTTTTTTTTTTAGCCAGGGCTTTACAATTCGGTCGCCTTTGAAAGTTTCATAATTCTTTGAGAAGCTCTGTGAAGGACAATTTTCCTCTTACGAAATATATTCAGAAACTTACCCCTATTGTCATTCTCATTTAATCCTTTCTTCATTTACTAAAATTTTTGCCTTAAACTTGGCAAACAGCTTGCATTAATGGCCAACAGAGATTTTTCACTTTCAGAAGATATTTCGCTCTTGGAATTTTGTAATATCTGACCAGAGTTAGCAGGGGGCTCTAATATAACTCTGATCCGACTTAGCAAATAAAGAAACCTTGAACGTCATTCGTGCGGCTAGGGCACGAATGACGTGTGTGTTTGAGGGGGACAGGAGACGTAGTCGAGTATTCATTTCTATATCTTGAGTTCTCTAGCCGCTTCCTTCCTTCCAAGTCCTCCATTAAAGAGTTGTCATGGTCACGTTTACGAACGCGACTATGATTTTCAAGAACTTCGAATACATGTGTACTCGTACTGATTTTAAGTTTTCGCTGATCAGTCTGATCATAACAGCAGAAATTCATGAAATGCAAGATTCTTGTCAAGTTCCTGAACAGTTTAACAAATAAGTTTTCTTTACAAGTTTAGTCATTGAAAGCAAGTTGGAAAGAACGTTGTTTGCCGCAATTATAAAAATAGAATTTCTGAGTGTGGCTTAAATTAGTTAATTTCGATAGTTTCTTGATAAATATATTTAGGAGCATCAAGGAAGATGCTCACTCTAAGAGGGGAAGCATGTTATGAAGTATTTAGTTAGTCAGTTCAGTAATTTAAGTCATTCTTTTATATGTAGAATGTAGCTACTAGGAATTCAAAGTCTAAAGTTATTTGGGTTTGCACTGTCACGATGAGTTTCCGAATTGTCTCTGTTTTGTCTAACTTCCAAGTGGATGTGCATAGTTTGTCAACTAACTTTGGTTTGATTTGGACCTACACGGAAGCTCTTTTTCTGGCTAACACAGTCAGAGGTTGATTTAGTTGATCGGAAGTATTAAAAACTTTCTTGTTCATTTCGAAGGTCTCGTGTGAAATTGTTTGGGTTGGTTTTATAACAATAATAGAGGACAACAATCATTTGAACTCATGACCTCTGAGATACGGTACAATGCTCTACCATCTAAGCAAACAGGTCAATTGGGAGCTGGTCATTTTGTTGCTTCGTAATATACCCGTGAAATGATGAATCAATGACTGTAAATATATGAAAATCATACGTGTGAACCGCGGTTTAAGAAGTGAATTTAAAAGTGATCTTCGCAGTGATGAACACTACTGAAGCAGTTATTTCAAATGACTAGAAGTGAGCAAAAATACAGTATTGACTCTATTCATCCAGTGTATATCTCAGTTAATTTCAATAACAATACATGTCTAGCCGAATAAACACAGCGGTCAAAAGTCTGCGGGAGTGCGAACGTTGCAATGACTTGGTGCTATGCTTTCAAGCTTTCAGAACCAAGTTGTATTACACGTAAACAACCGCACAGGCCAGTAATTCACGGTGTTTTGAAATCGGCGATGTTTTTGGTAAAACTCAAATTAGAATGGTAAATCAACAGGATACATGTACTTGAATTAGCTTTGTGTTCGAAAAGTCTCGAATTTTCGTTTTTCCTGCTTTTATTGCTACGGACGTTTCGAATTTCCTTTTTGCTTTCTTTGCGAGACAGCAGTTGTTTCAACACAGCAGTCATGGTTGCACATGCGCACTTAGATTCAAGCGGCATGGATAATGTAGAGAACTCGAATGAGACGTAGTTTTTCATAGCTTCTAATAAAATTTCAAAGTTTCTAAAGCCAAGACTTTTATATATTGTTGTTTCCACCCATTACTCTCTATTTTCAAACAAATTTTAATACACGAATGAATGAATATAGGTAATGGCTTTGGCGCCCGCCACAATTCCTCCGGAGCCTTACATAATCCACGACCGGAAGTTTGTGGTTCAATTCCTCACAAAGAACCAGTTTTTTATTTGTCCCCCCCTAAAGTATCGTTGAAAATCTCTTAGTTGATCTTTCTCACTTTGTACTAGCTTACACTCTCGTAGTTTGTTTCACACTTCGCATGGCGACGTGATAAGGTCGTCTGGAGGCTTGGCCGTGGCTGGCTGTTGTTATCCTTTGCCGTGTTAATAGTGTAGTTGGCGGTAAACACCGAGGGAAATGTGTGAAAAAAAAGAGGGATCATGTATAGCCAATATCTCTTATGACGATAGCTGGTCTTTGTTTATGGCAGAAAGTAAACGAGAATGAACTGCAGGAGTAGAGAATGTTGGCGTATTTCCCGGGATAGACATGCTCAACACATGCACAACAGAAATTCTCTTCACTGACTGTCAAACAAGTTTGTTTCAAAGCTTTGAGAATTTAGTGACAGATCAGTAACATTACAGGGACCTCGCGTCGATGATCCTTGAAATTCTTGCTAGCTTTCTGCTTCCTTAAATAGCGATTTCGTAGGGAGATTTGTAAAATGATCAAATCTAAACAGCAGAAAAGTTCAAGCCTTCGATTAAACAAATCAAACACAACTGAACCGACAAACGCGGCTTCCCTGCCAATAATAATTGTTTCACTGACTTGAACGAAGGCGGCACAATTATTTGAAATAGAATTAATCTGCTGTGGCTTCGTAAAAGAGCTGAGCTCATCTTCGAAAACACTCTTAGTAATTCTCAAACCAGGGAGATACAGCTCTGGATAGAAGCAGATATGTAACGAATTTAAATTCGACGCTTTATTCCTACATACAGACATACTTTCCAACTCTATTCAAACACTAACAACAATCCAGAGAAAGCGATATCAACTAACATTTCGTGGTACATTGTTGAACAAAGGAAAGACATTAAAAATGTTACGGGGTACGAAAATTGAGCCAAAAAAGGCATGTTCAAGTGGTGAAGGATCCTAGTCGTTTTCATACTAGCACTTCGATTTGCTTTGTATTAAAATCGATTTTAGAATCACTGCCAATCATATTGGGTTTCCTCATTCGTGATGTTGAGAAAGAAAATCAGTGCGAAAGGGTTGATTTGTTACAAGCCCATGTAAGCTTCATTCTGTTTCAAATCGTATCATAACATGGAAGCCAATTTTTCCAGCTAAAAGTAACTGTGAGAAGTTAGAGAAGTTCGTGGACAAAGCAAAGCTTATTTTAAGTCAAGATACTTTTTGAATACAGTATAAACTAAACACCAGGAGCCGTGGAGCGCCTTAAATTTGTTTGACTATTCGACACCCGCTCACGTTAAACCTGCCATTTCCTCTAAAAAAATCGCTGTTCTGTTTCTGGCACATGAAGTCAAAGAACGATGAAATATACTTCGAGAACCAAATTACATAATAAAAAAGGAAAAAAATCACTCTCCGTGTGAAACACAACAAAAATATCGTTCAAAGATTTTTATTTTAAGTCAACAATTTTCAACTTCATCTCTCCCTCTCTAGGACAACTATTTCTTTTCACCGTCAATAGACACAAAACTGTTGAAACTTCACAACTAGATAACTCTAAGGACAGAAATCGATATTCAATATAAATAGATAACTAGATAACTCTTAGAACGGAAAATCAATGTTCAATATAAATAAAATACCCCAACAAATGTAGCATGGAAGTTTCAAACAGTGTTTTTCATTTAAATTCATGTCAGAAAAAATTTTAAAAATATATTCAATATTATTAATAAAAATTCACTTTACACCCAAACAATCGAAAGAAGACGGTAAGATGTTTCCATTAACCGTTAAATTGCTGCTTGAAGTTTCAAATAATACCAGCTTCCGCGATTTCGGAAACTTCATATCTCAGCTACAATTTCACGTATCTGTTGTTTTACATGATCTCTCAGGCGATTTTCTCTTCTGAAATTGAACAAACCATTGTTCAACGGGTTGAACGTCACAGAACTTGAATCAAACAATCACAACGGCCAATCAAAACAAAGGAAATATAACAAGGAGCCAATGAGAACCCCTGGTCATAACAAGTAACCTGCCTCAGTGGCGGGAAAACGCGGGTGACTAAGTCGCGGTTTGATTCAGTATTGGATATGATTGGTTGAGAAGCTGGTGCGACTCATAGATCAATCATCGAATTACTTTTGGCCTCTGTTTCCGAGCGAGTCCTGGTGCTCATACTTTCATACATCATAGGTTTTCATTCACATCCGAATTAAACTCATTTTCACACGAACGGTTGACCACCAGGCCTTGTTTTGAAAAAGAGGCCAAAGATTATTCAGAAATGGCCTCTACAAGTGCGGATTCCTCTTAACACTGAATTGAAAATTCTTCAATAGTCGCATTGAGGTTACACGAGCTTTGTAGCTCCTCTTTACTGGTCAACTGCGTCATTTGTCTTTTCTGCCGCCGACTGGAGTAGTTCCATCATTTCTCTGTTTTCAAAAATCTCTGCGTTTTTCAGCGGTGTAAAGCCGTAAAGGTCTCGCGAGTTCAAATCAACGCCGCACTCCAACAAAAATTTAACCGTGTTCACATTATTTCGACAAACAGCCTAAAAACAATGGAAAAAAAAGGGAAAAACATATCAGTATTTCACCGTGCACAACGCTCAATTTTTAACTCAAAATCACAAGCAGTCAGCCACTTAACTAACATATTAAAAACACGAGAGACAGACTGTTTCCTCTATTTAGCTCCGAGCTATTTTACCTCAGTATGAGAGAAATAATTGAACAAACTCACCACATGTAAAGCCGTTCTCCTGTCGTAATCACCAACATTAAAATCAACTCCAGCTAAGTGCCAGGCCCGCAATCTATCCACCTTATCATCAGCGGCAAGAGAGCATATTTCAAGGGCCGTGTTCACAGTGGTGGGCCCTAAATGAGCCCCAAACTCCCTGAGAAGTAAAATGGCCTCCTCGTTATCACTACGAATGGCATCGTGCAAAGGGGTTTGTCCGTGATTATCGAAAACGTGCGGCGAGGCGCCTTTCTCCAGAAGATACCGAATGACTTGCAGCTGACCCTCCAGGCATGCTACATGAATCGGAGTGCGGCCATCGTGACTTGTAGCAGCGCTTAATAAACCACCCTGTAAACAAAATACGAAATAAATTATATGTTGCGTGAGGGAACCAATTAGATTGCAAGCGTGGTTCTGAAGCACAAAACACTTCCATTAAAGCCAATATTTCATCCCTGCTTCTTAGCCTCACAGGATGAGTGCTTTTCATCAAAGGCCAAGTCACTAAGGAAATCAATCGTTTGGGACTTAGATCCTCGCCAACTTCAGATATATACCTGTTGACGCAGGTCTTCCATAGCATCAATGTCGCCCCTTCCTGCAGCGTGACACATTAACACTGGAAATAATGCTTGCTTGATGAACCTCACTTCCTGTAATGGAAATATGTGTGACACAGAAAAACAGTAGGTATGACAATCCAAAAGCCCAGAGCAATCCCGATTTAAGTTTCGTCCGCTACGCACCGTTGAAACACCTAAATAAGTCATGATTGGCTTAGATTTTACATCTTAAAAGTTTGTTACATTGTACTTTTTCCAAGTCAGTTAACTGAGAGTACAAAACAAATTGAAATACCCAGGGAATGGTAAGGAAGTGCTTCTAAGAGTGAACTTAGAAGATTTCACAGCTGTCTTTTCTTGTCACGCATGGGAGTGTTGCGTAAGAAGCCAAAATGAGGCCCTTTTTTCAGGCTGGCGGTGTGTAAAATTCCTTTATCTTAAGTAAGGAAAAGAGTAAGGAGATGAATTATTACGACCTGATGAATGAACAATCAATGTATATTAGTAGCTCGAGAGAAAACTCTGAGTCGCAAAAACGTTTCCATCGTCCGTCACTTCCAGTCCACTATAATAAGGTAAAAAATACTTGGTTACACCATCCTAGTACAAAAAAAATCTATATATAGCACCTTAACCAGGAGATATCAACGAAAACAGTTCTAGCTACTTTCGAAATCCCTTGAAATCACTCAGAAATACCAGGAAAAAAAAAGGCAAAAAAAGGCGTGGTAGGGAGCTTATTACTAACGCCGATCTAAGCTTTGCTCACCTCGGTTGAACCGACTTTGAAATGTGAAGCCACTGCATCGATCAGTTCATTGTCCCGCAAAGAAAACTGTTGCATATTTTCGTCTTTGTACGGTGTCAACTCTCCACGTAGATTCTTTTTCATCACCTGAAATCATACAGTGAACAGTACATGCGGGTTACTTAAAAAAAGGCTCCAAAGTTCTGGCTTTTTTCTCACCTAATAAGGTAATTTCATTAGGTACTTTTCAATTATTGTTTTCCTTTTCTTTTTTCAACATGACCAAACTGAAGAAGTAATCCTCCATACTTTGAATAGTACGATAATCGGAGTCATTCTCAACACCAATAAAATATTTTCACTGTGATGGGAGTATTTTCCCACCCTCCCCCCCCCCCCTTTCACTTATCTACTCACCCCCTCCCCACATCACATGTTCCAATCAAGACTCTAGCCTCTCACAACCTTCAGTGCAGCTGTCAAAGTTCCGTTGGGTCTGACCAAAACCTAGTAATACTACTAGGTAAAATGATTCCGCAGAAACTTTCTTTTGTCGACTGGAATAACTCCAGAACACTTGCTTGGGAGTTTGACATGATACTAAATCTATTACGTCATTGTACGTTCCGTTACCAGTAAAGATGACAGTAACATAACAAAATGAGAACCTCACCTCTTTTTTCTCTTCTATCGAGAGCTCATCATGTCCAAGTACATAGGAAAGTTTTGTTAGCGCTGCCTCGACCGTCATATCATTTCCTGAAATCACACCAGCTTCCACCAAAACCTAACACAGAGGCAAATACAGCTTGAAGTTACTGCAACCTACTCAAATTAGAAAATAGATGGAGAAATTTTCAATTGAAAGTCGAAAGTAATTGCGGGGATTTCGTTTGTATTTTCTTACTACAACGGAAACCCATCCGTTCCTTTGCATCTTGATTAAAGTTTTGTGTTGACGGAAGAATGATTAGCTTTACAGCTCATTTTTTCGCAACAGAGTCGCCTTTCTTTTCACCAAACACCCAATTGACTGCAAGCTTAGCAGGCTGGCATCTTGTTGAATATGAATACTGCCCGTTGTTATTTACTTCGCTCTCTAAACATTAGCGTCACATGTTAAGGGAGTTGCAGGGTGCTCTACAGTTATTTCTCAGTGCGCACTTTGATTGGTCCAAAGAAAACTCACGCCATTCACTCAACCAATCAGATGGAAAACCAAAGCCACACGTGACATGGTCACTCGCGTTTTCTCGCCTTTCTGGCGGTTCGTCTGCTCTTACCCTGAGTTCTAATTGGCTCTTTGTGACATTTATATTTGTTCTGATTTGCCATGACAATGATTACATTGATTATAGCATTACAACTGAATCGAAATTCTTTCTAAAACCAAGAACATACCCTGCCTGTTGCATACGAATCCACAACATGACCGTACAAGCACTGAGTACAATTCACAATGATCACTCCGCGTTTAGCCGCAGCTCGTATTTCCTCCAAGAGTTCTTTTCGTGAATCAGGGCCATTACCACTACCATAAGTCTCGAGAACGACTCCCTCGATTGGAGGCTCTAGAAAAGCATGTACCTGGAAGAGAGGAGAATGGGCACAGGAAATGAAAAATGATATGAACGATCCAAAGAACCTCAGCTGCTTTTTACCCAATTGTTGGTTTAACCCTTTACAACCTGACATCAGTATGCATATTCTCCAGTCATTCCTTTTTTCCTTTTTTTGTTTTTGTTTTTGTTTTTTTCATTTTTGTTGGTTTTGTTTTTGTTTTTTTTGGTTTATTTGTTTGTTTGCTCACAACGGTAATTGTGCAACTGTCAAGGTCTGTTAATTTGCGACTTTGGATTAAAAAAATGGGCTTCAGTATTTAGAATGGAACTATAACTATATTTCGTAGAAAAGGTTGTGGTTATTCATTGTGGTGAATAACAATAAAAGCTAAGTTTTTCGTTTGTCTCACGATGTAGTCACGTGTGATGTAGATCGCTACATCATACGTGACTACATCGTGAGACAAACGAAAAACTTAGCTTTTAGAACTATATTGTTACCTTGTGCTTAGAATAATTAGAATGAAGAACGAAATGTAAGTGTTATTAGTAATGTTAGTATTGTAAATATTGTTGCATTTTAAAATTGTAAATCTTGTTAGTACTGCAAAAAATTTAAATAAAAAGTAACATGAAGCAGAGGTTGAGGATTTGAATACTAACTGCTTCCTGTGTAATTCCAGGGAAAATTCTCAGCACTCCTATTCTGGAGCTCATCTTGGTATGTATTTCAAATTTCCTTGCTTGATTTTCATAAAACAGCTCCTCCCACTCAACTAAAAAAAAGAAAAAACATTGAATAAAATAAAGCTCTTTGAGATAAAAATGAGACTTGTACTTTGTTGTGTTACATCAAAATAAGTAAAAATTGAGTCTATGATGTAAATTGTTGACCCTTTGGCCCCTAACAGTGATAAGCATCTAATTTCTCCTTACAATATCACCCCTGATTCACACATTACTATCATGAGATTAGAGCAAGTAATCACCAACTATAGAGGCTCTTGATTGTTAAACAAATTCTCCTAATCAGCACCTCAGGAAATGGATGGAGAAAAGTATGGAGAATATACATGCTGGTCTCAGTGTGTAAAGGGTTTAAAAAAGCCCCCACATTGAACCTCTCCTTGCATCTATTAAAAGGGACCACATTTGGACAAGTCATCCAAAGCTTGCACAATATTGCCCCTTACCTTCAATACCAGCTTCTACTGTTGCCAAAGGAGGGCAGTTTGGAGAGTCAAATGCACCAAATCTGCGTGCATCAACCTTCAAGGCACGGTTGCCACGGTACAGTTTTCCATGGAAGAACAATGTCACCTGGCATAGGTTAAATTTAAAAAAATAAAGGCATTTACCAAATGCTTTTATTTTTAAGATAAATATGACAAAGTGATGATAATAATAAAAAAACACTTTAAATAACTGTGACAATGTTAATGATGATGATAATGATGATGATGGTGAAAGCATTAGATGTCCAAGTTCTAGGTTTTCCAACTAGTTTTAAAGAATATTTTTAGGGAGTACTGATATAATTTTTTAATATAATTATCATATGCAGTACGATATTATTATAATTTCTCTTTTTTCTTTTAACATCATTTTTTACATTTTAATTAAATTCTGAAGAGCATCAATAGGAGAATTTAATAAAGTATAATATAATAATAATAAGAAAGAGATGGTGAGAGTGGTAATGACAATGAAAAAAAGTAAGCCAGACTAAAAAAAACCAGTGTTCTGCAAGGCCCTGCAAACAATTTATAATTAAGCATTAAAAATACTGTATTTGGTGAATGTTGTTGATTTTTTTTTTCTCGAAAGTCACTCAATTATCAATTTTATACTTAAAAATTACCTCTGGGATGACATAGTGGCCAGCAATCATTAGAGCTCCAAGAAGATTTTGCCTTCCATCATTTAGATGATCACTCAAAGCATACTACACAAAATAAGTCCAGCATATTGATTTAACAAATACATGCAGCAAACCAGGAGTCAATTACCTGACATCTGAACGAATATAACTATATAAATCTAACATATTTATGGTATATAATCATATAATATACTATAAGAAGGCAGGGTGGCCCAGTGGTTAGGGCACTGGACCTGTAATCTGGTGGTCCTGGGTATGAGCCTTCCACCCTGTTGCTTATTGGATTTGTTCTTGGTTTCCCAAAGCTCAACTCCTCGGCTGCACTTTGTATAGAGCCAAATGTTCTGCCTCTGGCCAGTTGGGATTTTTAAAACACTATATTTGTTTTCTAATTACTGCCATTATTGCTATAATTTTTATTAGTATCATTATTTATTATTATTACTTTTACTCACACATCATTCTGTGATATTGATAGTTATGCAACTGTACAAACTTGCCTGAGAACCAGTGAAGATCACTGACTTTCCAAGGTTCTCAAACATAAATGAGAGTGCTGATGCAAGATATGCCATGGTATCTGTGCCATGAAGAATAACAAATCCATGATATTTCTCATAACATTCCTTGATTTGCAGTGCAATATTGATCCAGTCTTGAATGTCTTGATCTTTTGAATGAACAACTACATGACTCTCTTTCATCTCAAGAACATCAACAAACACACGTTTTCCATACTTGCTGACTCTAAGCGGATTAGAAATAAACACAATAGTGTATGGTGAGCCAAATCTCCTGGCCACTTCATCTGCTAATGTTCATTTTACCAACAGACTTGCTAACCTTATTAACAGCTACCACTCTACACTCTGTATTGAAAGCTACAAGTTTGACACCTCGCCATGTCATTATGTTGAGCAAGACATGTTACTCTTGAGGTACCTCTCCCTACCTAGAAGTATAATAAGGTACTGCCTGTCTCTTCACCCGGGAGTATAAATAGGTACTGACTTCCTCCACCCAGGAGTATAAAAAGGTACTGTCTTACTCCACCCAGGAGTACAAATAGGTGCTGTCTCACTCCACCCAGGATTATAAAATGGTACAACCTATCTCAGGAGTACATGAGTTCCAGCAAAATGAAGGGGAACCTGATGAAATGTTAGGTGGTCACCTTTTACACTCTAAAATCATTATGCATATTCCCCATACTGTTCTTTGTACAGTTCTAAGGTGCTGACAAGGAGAATTTGCCTAAAAATCAAGAGCTTCTGTAGTTGTTGACCATCTCCATTATTCTCCTGACCTTAATGTTTGATTCAGGTGTGATACTGCAAGGAGAAATTAAGGCTAGTCTCTCTTAGGGGTTAAGGGGTTAATCTGTGATAAACTTGCATCCAATCCAAGGGAGTGGCAACTCCTAATCCTTTCATGTTACATAGACTAAGATAAGCCACAACACCTTGTGGGCCATTTGCATTCACAATTACCCCGATGTTTAGCATTTCTCAGAGTATAATACATTTTATTATTATTCAATGTATTTAGGGTTAAATTTTATTCAATATATTTTGGGGTCAAAGTGAATGAGGACTATTCATTCTGAGAGCCTATAAGTGCCAGAAATTGAAATTTTCTCATTTACTCACGGCATCACAATTGTGTCTGATCCAATGCCCTCCTCTGGAATATCATCCAGTACATTGCTAAGGATGTAGTCAACATACTCCACATCATGCATCATGGGGAGCTTCTTCAGTTCTTTCAGTACATTTTTCTTATCAAGATGGAATCCTGAAAAATTAGTGGTTAACTTTACAGGAACAAGTTGACTCCAAGGAGACTTATCAACATGCAGAACATGGGCTTGCACCAAATCTAGATGTAAGCTTTCACGTCAAACTTTGTGACAATCCTTTGAAAATGAAGCAAATACTACCCCACCCTACTGAAATTTTGTTTGTTTTTGTTTTATTAATTTGTTTGTTTATTTTTTTGGTGGGGGGGGGGGGGGTATAATTGTCGCTCCAAAAGAAAACCTCAAGTAATGTTATTTTGAGATCACCTATGGTTCTTATCCTTATCACTGTGAGGTAAAAGCACCATCCACTTGTACTGTGCCATAACCTCTCCCATCTACTAACTCACTCTTGAAGACCCCTTGCAAAGCACTCGGTCACATCATATGATTTTATAATTCCTTACTTTGAAATGTTTACCTTCTAGGTTTGGATCTACCTTCCATCCAAGCGCACCACCAGTATACAACAACAAAACTTTACTGTTTACAACATTCTCGTGTGTGATAGGATCCTCCACAGGAACCGTGCCCAGACGGCTTTTCGACGGACTTGAAGAACCACCATCTACAGAGGACGAACTCGAAGACCGCGACTGAAAGAAACTTCTAGACAGCTGTGCATGAAATGATCGCCTATTCAATGCTACATCACCGTCAGCAGCGTCCGAGCTGGAAGTTGACTGCATTGTTTGTTTCCCTGCTGTAGTCGAGGGAAGATGTTTTGTGCTCGACGGTACTGCGCACTTTTCTGAGCCACCTGTTGTAACAACAATGCCGTCATTTTCACCGCATTCCGGAAGTGTTTTTAGGCTTTTCTTGGAGCTTGTAGATATTTTCTTAACAGGATCACTCATAACGTTCCGAAATCACCGATAGAACAGTTTGTACGTCGGGTGGGGCGATGACCTTCGATTTCCCGGGAACTCGCCATCTTTCTTAGCTGAGCAACCGAGCCTTATTTATAGACGTGAGAGGATTGGGAGGTGGTGTAGGTGCTGATGATCGATGAAGCTATTGGGGAAGGAAAATTTTTCTAAAAATGGAAAGAAACCTAGAATAAATAATCATGCAAGGCTAAGGGTGTTTAAAGGAAAATCGGTTTTTGAAATGTGAAATGTGTGAAATGTGTGTAGCTCTATTCTGAACTAACAGGATGGGCCAAAAGATGTGGGTCAACCAACACACCTTCGAGAGGCCATCCAGTTACTATCGCGTGCTTTCTTATCAATTCACGTTATGCAAAATGTAAGGAAGAAGCAGCAATACTGCTCTGGTCGTTTTTACTCTGCCCGCAAGCTCTCATAGGTTGCAAGAGCAGCGAAATCTCTTGACTTGCAGTATCGCGTGATACTAACGTCACGTGCAGTTTAAAGCCTGTAACAAGGAATTGACTAATTATAAGGAATGAGTTCACCATGTGCTGCTTACAACTGCACGCCTGTTCGTTGTTGTTGTTGTTGTTGTTGTTTTTCTTTTTTTTCATTACTTTCGCACTCGTATCTCCCGATACATAACCAAGCCTAACTGTCATGGTCGTTTACTCCAAGCGTAAAAAGGGGGTAACTTTCTAAAGAAGCTGTGTTGCTGCGTCGGTGGGGGAGTATAACAAGACAATTTGATTTTATCAACTGAGTTGGTAATGTAAATCGCCACCGTGAAGAGTTTAAAAGCTGACGCTTCGAGCGTTAGCCCCAGGCCATTCGCTCTGACGAAGGGCTAACGCTCGGTACGTCAGCTTAGAAACAATGTACTAATTTCGTAAGTTTAAGCGAAGTTTTCAGAAAAGAACGGAGGAATCATAGTTCCCATAAGTTTCCTTTATTTAGCTTATTCTTTACAAAAATACAATCCTCGCCTTTAGGTTTTTTTTTATCCCATTAAACAAACAAACAAAAATGCGATTGGCGTTTGCATGAACACGAACACTAACATATAATACTCCCTCAAAATGTGAATAACTAACTTGATAATTTTTATAAATAATATTTATCTGAGCGCATCCAGCCCCCCTCCCCTCACGCTTTTGTTTGTTTTGGATATATTATAAATATATACAAAATATATACAAAATAAATAACATCGTCATATCTTAAATGGCGAAACCCAAATCTTGAGCTCAGTTATCCCTCCAATAAATAACAGCCTTTAAAATGACCTTAAAATAATTTTCCCAATATTGCCAGCCAAAGAGTAATTTTCGAATGAGTATCGCAAAGAAAAAAATCATTCAGGTGTTTTTTAGTGGCTGTTACCGAAAGTCGTTTTCAACATCTCGTTGCCGACAACTAGTTTTCGATCGTTTTTGCTGCTTTGCCAATCGCGTAAGAAGTAAAAGTCGGCTACCTTGCATTCCTTCCTAAATAAAATGTTAAGTCACTCGCGCGTATTTTTCTTCAATTGAAAACATTGCCTTCTGGCTGTCTCACTTGTACTACGATCCCTTTAACTGATTTTAACACATATTCCTTGTTCAAAAAAAAATTTACTTTAATTCTATCGGTCCATTATCCTGTTCCAGGTGTTCAGCTGGTAAAACGAAGCGCAACTGAAACGAGGCGATAGTAACGGATAAGTGTTAAAGAACGAGGGAGACTTTGGTCGGTTCGCGTAATAGCGTTCTCCGGCGACTTGACCCAGGCCTCCCTGGTTTTTTCACTCAGCCGCTACTTACTGAAAGCTTGGAACAGGCTGTTTTCCCATATTAAAAAAAAAAACAAACAAAAAAAACATGTTAAAATAATTATTCAAGATGATTCAGTTAGAGAGAGAACATTAAACTTCTTTAATCCGCAGTATCCGTCTAACATATCGATAATATTGTGCAATTCATACGACTTGGCATTGTCCATGGGAGTGCTGCCAAAAACATCACGGAGGTACGGGTTTACACCATGCTCCAGCAAGAAGGCAACAGTCTCTACGTTGTTACGGCAAACGGCCTGCAATTCAGAAGAAGAGGAAACGTCTAAACCCTTTATACCTTGATAACAGTATGCATATTCTCCATACTGTTCTCTATACATTTCTTCAGGTGCTGACAAGGAGAATTTGTTTAACAATCAAAAACTTCTGTTGGGTGATGTTGTAAGGAGAAATTAGATGTTAGTCACTCAAATGGGTCAAAAGGTCAAACCCGGCAGGAAATGAGACCCAACCACTGATATGGTTTCAGCACCGTGCGCATTTTCTTTAAGCCTCTTAAAAAAGGAACCGAGGTAATCAACACAGTCAATCAGAAAAAAAACAATAAATAAACATAGCGCTTGGAGTCAATGATAACTCAAAGTAAAAACAAGAAAATTGCTTGAAAGAAGCGCGGGAAAACGCGGGTGACCACTTCGCAAATTGTATCATTTAGCTTTGCATCTGACTGGTCGAGAAGGAGGACACAAATTTTCAGCACCAATCACAAATAAATGCAAAGGCGGTGAAATCCCAGATTACATTCAAAATCAACTAAATTTTGAGGGTCGAAAACTTTGAGCGCGTCTTTCTTACTGTCTACATTTTTTCTCCGAACTCACCACATGGAGAGGCGTTCTTTTATCGTAATCACTCGCATTAAAATCCGCTCCCGCGAGTTGCCACACGAGTAAGTCATCCACTCGATTTTTCGCAGCCAAGCGACAAAGTTCAACCGCTGTCTCCATAGAAGATTTCATCAACTGAGCACCAGCTTTCCGAAGCGTTTTAACGATCTCTTTGTGCCGGAATTTAATGGCATCGTCCAGAGGGGAGCATTTAAATCTGTCTCGCACTTGCGTAATTGCGCCTTTTGCCAGGAGAAATTCGACCGCTTCCGTGTTGCCTTCTACGCATGCGATGTGAAGAGGAGTCCTACCATCGTAGTCCGTAGTGGCATTTACATCAGCACCCTTAAAAAAAAAGAGGGAAAATCTTAGTAGGAAACAGAAAGGGTCTGGGAAGAAATCCTAACCCCTCCCCCCCTAAACTTTGTTTCTCGCTCACTCTCTCCACTCTTTCGCTCGTCCCCACAACCGAGAGTTTCCTGGGTCAGAGTAGCAAGTGATAAAAGAGATGAAGGGAAGGCGCTTCGCTGTACGAGGAATGAGTACGAATCAGTCGTGGTTGTATAAGAGGATCGGTGCGCGACAAAAGCAGACAACATAATGTGCATACCCTACCTGATTAAGAAGTTCTTCCATTGTCCGCACATTCCCAGCACTTGTAGCACAGCTCATGAGCACAGGAAGTAGAGCTTGCCTTATGAATTTCATTTCCTAAAAATAAAGTTAACACTTGTACAAAAAGTATTCCACGTCCTGCTGGATCATTTATTTTAAGATCATAACAATAAAGGAAATGATCACCTACCTATGAAGCTTTGATTGTTAAACGAATTCTCCTTATCAATACATGCGGCTTAGAGGTGGACCGTGGGTGCTAACTTGAAGGTGGAGGTCGAGGGGTGGGGGGGGGGGGGGCACTTACAAGAACGTGGGCGTATATTCGAGGAAATACGGTAACTAATAAAATAATAACCTTGCTGGAGCTGATCTGTAATGACGATGCTACGGCAGCAATGAATGAGTTGTCTTTGAGAGAGAATTGTTCCCTTGTATGAGCGACGGTGAGTTCTCCGCGAATATTATTTCGAATCAACTAAAAAAAAAAAGAAAAAGAAGTCACAAAATCATGGCATTTAACAGAATAAAACTAAAACGAAGAAAGACCAGATTGAAACTGAAGTGGTCATACACCGGGTAACATACGCTACCTCTCGTTTCTCATTCAAACTGAGCTCCGTTTTTCCCAACACGTAACAAAGTTTGGTGAGTGCTGCTTCAGGTGTCATGTCTGAGCCAGGAATCACCCCTGCATCCAACAACACCTGATAAAAAAATACGTCACCAACAACAACAATTATAGCTGAGATGTGCGCTTATTGTTTTCGCCGAAAAGGAGGTACCACTCATAGTCTACGTATTATCCACAATCATTAACCATTTAGCTCCCAGAAGTTATTAACATACTCCATAACTTCTCATCATAAAATCCATACATTATCAAGCAAACAGGTTGTAGAAAATCTCTATCGTTTTTCTAAATTTCAAGTAACAATTTTTCTCTTCCTCTCCCCGCTTCGTATTCTTTTTTAATTCACGCGCGGCGCGCGTGATTTCACAAATTAGCCAATCACATCAAATAACTTTAACCTTGACAATGGAAAACTGACGTGGACATTTTTCGCGTACTTTTAGTTTTGTTTTCGCGGAGTTTTAATCAGTTGTTTTTGAGCTTTCGTTCGCGTAAGTTTGTTACTCCTTTGTTTGGAATTTAAAGAAGTTACGGAATTTTTATTTTAGCCAAATGTTGTGGTTCATTTAACAAGTTTAATACATATTTTCTACGGAGTTTGGACTCTAGTCTCTTTTTTCGTAAATGGATTTTTTACACAGGTGATGAGAAAACTCAAACTTATTCGGTACTGAAGTTGTTATCATGATCTAACACGAAATTCTCATGACTAATTTACAAGAAAATGTGTAACATCTAGAGGGGAAAATTAACGATCAGATCTTGGGAGTTAAAGGACTAAAAAAGGTGGTCAGAATGCTTCTAAACCTGAATTCATTACAACCCTAGATTTTTGAGAGGTGACAACGTAAATGTGAAAGAGAAACATGTAACTCTAGTTTTCAATTTCTTACCTTTCCTGTGGCATATTGATCAACCACAGGACCATGGAGACACTGTGTGCAGTTGACAATTAATACACCTCGGCGAGTAGCTTTCTTTATCTCAGAAATAATGTCCTCACGGTTGTTAGGTGCATTTCCACACCCATACGTCTGCAGGACCACACCTAGCATGGGTGGTTTTAAAAATGCTTGCACCTGAGGAAGACAAATGAAATAAAAAAGGCAGTCATCAATCTAACACTTATGTGCATGTGTATGAAATATGTACATGTGTATATTTGAGCATCAAAGATTGTTGATGGGAATTCCATGATTACTGTCATTACTTACAGTTTCAGATGTAATCCCTGGAAAGAGCCTAAGCAGTCCAATGTTGGGATTCATGTTAGAACAAACTGTGAACTTGTTAACACTGTTTGAACGGAATATTGCATCCCACTGCACTGCAAGAATTAAAGAAAGTTGCACAGGCATTGGAACATTGCAGTCAGAATGTAACATCATTAGACATAACATATTTGACAAAAGGTTTACAAAAAATCTGAATTTATGGAGTGGTTACCTCCTAGCAATTGAATTAAAGGATGTGGGAAATATGACTATGGACCACTCAGACAAGTATTTGTAAAAATTTTTAAAGAATTTCATTTATTTTTTACATAAATCAGGTTGTCTGATAACTAGTTCTTAGCACCTCCAGAGAAATGACAACCGTATACTGCATTTTACAGATGAAAATGCACTTGCACTCAGCAATCTAATCAAAAACATTTCTGTCTGTTTCCTTGAACAAAGGGAATGATTGACATTTTCATCACCATTTTCAAGGTAAGATGCATCTGAAAGATTCATTGATAACAATGTGACTCCTAAGTGACAAGCATCTAATTTCCTTTACAACATCACCCCTGAATCAAACACTGAAGTCACAAGAATAAAGGAAATGATCACAAGCCAAAGAAGCTCATGACTGTTAAACAAGTTCTCCTTGTGGTGGCTCCTTTGGAAATCTATAGAGAACAGTATGGAGAATATGCATACTGATGTTACAGTTTTAAGGATTATAAATGATTTTACCTTCAATGTTCACCTTCATGGTTACCAGGGGAGGAAGATTTGGGGAGGTGAAGGCATCAAAGCTCCCAGCACTCACTTTGGTGGAGCGGTTACCACGATATAAACATCCAGCAAAAAACAGAGTAACCTGGCATAGAAAAAACAAACTCAGTTCTCCCAACAAAAGAGAAATAAAAAAAGAATAACATTTTAGAACAATTGCTCCAGTGATCATAGAGATGTGCGCACTCTTATTGGTTAAGGATTGCATCATATCTTGCTATTATCACCCAACGCAAGGTGATTATAGTGGGAGCCCTAATTTCAAAATGGCTGCCTTGCGTTTTGTCAATGTTACCAAGGAAGTGAATGGACATGATAGAAGAAAATTCAATTCCAAAGAGGGCAAAAGATGCTATTAAGTTTGGCATAACACTTTCAAAAGAAAGATGTAGAGTTTTTGTTGATGGAATTAAATGAACCTGTTAAATTGTAGAGGAAACTCACTGCTATTTCAATATGAATAACTCTTTAAAATAATTGTAACTTAATTTAAAAATTAAATGAATTTGCAACAGAATTCAAAAGCACCAGCGCAATTATACCAAAACAATTATTCAGCTCAGGCTCAGTGAAGATTCTTCGATAATCCCCTCAACTTTGTCTTAGGGCCTATTTACACGGTACGACTTTGTCGCATGCGACAAGCTTACGACAGGCTTACGACACGAATTGTTTCATGTAAATCAAACCTACAACTCGCTTACGACTCTTAAGTCATGTCGTAAGCCTGTCGTAAGCTTGTCGCATGCGACAAAGTTGTGCCGTGTAAATAGGCCTTTAGGCATAATTCAACAATGTTCACTTTGCCTTTGGTGAATAATTGTTACACATTGATTTTGTCTCACATTTAAAACCTATAATTACCATTTATTGCTTCCACATTCTCCATAAGGATACAGTATTTTTATCAATAATTCAATGGTGCCTTGTTTACCAGTAGAGATTTCCTTTAACAGAGGCAAAGCTAAAAAACAAACCTCAGGAATAATGTAGTGACCAGCAATGACCAATGCACCTAACAGGTTGTCACGACCATCATTTCTCTGCTCATAAATTGGAACCTTGGAAAATAAAAATTCAATAAGTAAACAAGTCATTGAAAGACAAACCTAGAGTATCACCATCCTTTCCATGCCCCTTGATGTTTGAAGGGTGGATAATTCCATCCACTGCAAAAATCTCGAAATGGTAGATAATGTAATAATATTTTTTTTAACACTTATCCACTGGATGCTCATTCATCTTTTGAATACAATCAATTGCCCTTTGAACAACTGGGCTCTGAACTGTTAGACTAAAAGATCAAAACTTAATTCCACCATCATTACACTAAAGTTTCTATGCACAAAGAAAAAAATATACACACTAAAAACTTGACAGAATTTTCTGCAGACCTTCCCTCTCACTTTGCAAACTAACTGGTTAATGAAAATTTCAAAAGTGGGACATCTTACCTGTGAACCAGTGAAGATCACAGATTTCCCAAGGTTTTCCAGCATAAATGACAAAGCAGAAACACTGTAGGCCATTGTATCTGTTCCATGTATTACCACAAACCCATCATATCTACTGTAATTGTCTTTAATATCAAGTGCAATTTCCACCCAGTCTCCAATCGTCATGTTTGATGAGTCTTTGAGGGGAAAGTATTCTTTGATGTAATATAATACTCGCACTCCATGAGCTGATATGCTGTTTAAGTAATGGTACGCAACAAGTGAGTGTGCATGTTTGGAGAGCTTTTCTGTGACATGCTAAAAGTGAAGCCTATTAGAAAACTAAAATAATTCTAATTTTAAAAGGGGGAGGGGTGATTATATTTACACAAACTGCTGGGTTTTTTTTTTTCGGTTTTTTTTTTAAGGATTTCCAGCTCTCGTAAAAGTCTAACTACATGAATGTACAATTAAGATAATTTTTTATCAGCTGCTAACATGTCACCCATTTTTCATAGTAAAGGCCTATGGTGCTTAAAGACATGGTTGCTTGTTACACTTGTTATCTGCATGGCTTATGTATCATTCTATATATAAACATATTGTTAATTTGAGCCTGGAAACCCATTGCCAATCCCCTGTTAACCATTTTATATGCCCACTTGAATAAATGTCTTTCTATTCCCATTTATGGCACTATATACTTTTGTCCACTGGACTAACATCAAGTCAGAATATTTAAATAACATGGCTAGCAAATTGAGAATCCAACAAAAGTAGGAATTTTGCACCTTGTGATATATGAAAAATATTACAAGAAATCTCAATAGTTTCATGAGAGAATTTTCCATCAATAGAACAGTCCCTAATTTTAAGATTCTCAGAAGTTATTTTGTATCACCTTCAAATATAATTTCTAGCTGAGAAAACTAACTCCTCTCAGGTTGAAACGTTGTCGATCTTAGAGTGTCTCTTCAACTGAGCATTGTCAAAAGAATCGATGTGGTTTCAGCTGCGATACCGAACAAATTTAACGTTCAGCTGAGGTTTAATCATTGACTTGGCTATGACGTGTATTCCTGAGCAAGTCACGCACGCATGTTGGTAAACAAATCGAACCCCAAAGATTAAGTAAACAATTTTAGGAGCTAAGTAAGCTTGGTTAATTTTGAGAGGCATCGTTGACACAGGTTTCAAAGAATTTGATTACGTAATGGTGCCCACTAAAAAAGGATGTATAGAAAATGATTTTGACTCCCGTTTGTCCACGCCGACATTTAAATTAATGAAACAATTCTACAATGCCTCTATCGACTGTTGTTTCTCGATCATTAACATCACTGAGAACACATCGAACACATCAGCAGGGTATGAAAACAAAACATTTATCACAAAAGCCTAAATCATTAAACAGCTGAACACGCAGACATGTATAAATAGACTTACGGCATTGCTAACTCTTCTAGCTGTGAAGTACTGGCAGCGTTGTCACAGCTGAAAGACTTAAGACTTCCTTTTGGTTCAATCTTTGTATAATCCTCATCATACAACATAGGAAGTCTCTTTATTTGCGTCTGAAGGTGGCCAGATTTCGGCTGATATCCTAAACAAAGTAAAACAAAGCATATTTAATTGTATCATTGGGTTATCATACGTTCAGTCTGACTACGTGAGACGCCAGGCAAAAGTTGAGGGAAATTATTCGACAGCCCTTTACCTCCATCTGTTTTCTTCATTCCAATCGTTCCGCCTGTGTATAAAACTAAAACTTTCGTTTCTCGAATTTTCTTTGGCAAGGTAGGGCTCTCCATAACTGAATGCCATACACCTTCCCGGCTCCCGCGCGACTATATCACGCCCGCTTTGCATGACTGATGCATGCGTTTTTTTTTCTGTCGCTTCGATCTTACTTCCTCATATCTTCCATTTTCATTTCTCGACAAAATTTCAACCACCGTATTATATTCTACAATTTCAAATATAACGAGATTATGGTAATACACCGACATAGGGAGTAATGTAATGATGAAAAAATTGCAGAAAAGAGTTTGCAGTAAACGCTCTCTCAAATCTCAATAAATTATTTTTCGGGGGCGGATAGGGGGGTGTGTGCGGGCCGAACCAATCGTTAATGGTATAAACTGCTGACCATCTTATGCTGCGCCGTCGTATGACAGGAAATCACAAACAAATATTTTTTCAGGCCTAAGAACGTGGTCATTTATTTGACTTGGGTTTTGTTTTTTTATTTCCATTTTTTCCATATCAATTTGTTAATTTTTCGCCTACCACACAACGTGATCTGCTTGTGGTAAAGAGTCACTTCCACGAGCCTGTCAGGCGCCTTTCAAGTTGTGGCAGAATTAGCGTTCTGAAGAAGGAAAAACTCTCGAAACGTCAGCTTTGAAAGGCGAGAACTTGCGTGTAACCTAAGAGACTCTGAGAATAAGCTTAATGTTCCTTTGCCGCGCACAGACTATTAGAAAAATAGCTTTAGCTCTAGTGGCGCCACTCTTTGGAACAGACTTCCTCGTGACATAAGACAAGCAGAGTCCCTTGGGTTATTTAAGCGTTTAATTAAAGAAGTACGTTCAGGCACAGCACTCGTGGAAAGCAGCTTAAGTTAGGTTTGTGCTTTAAGTATAGCTTTTATAGTATCTTATCCATTTAATGCATGTTTATATATTTGAATGTTTTTATGGCTGATGAAGTGTCCGTGGGAAAATAAAGATTATCTACCTATCTATCTAGATGACACCCACACAACCCCTCATCGCCCACTCGAGAACGAAATAAGGGTTATTGATCATAATCCTTGTTGTCGCACGTGCAAGGCAAAGGAAACAACTTCCGTGCGACCTCACCATAACATAACAACAGGGATAGCGGCGAATGAATCCTTAAATCATGAAAATAACCTCAAGTTTTGTAACAACGCCCAAGCTTTTTCAGCCTTTTCCGCGCTGAAATTTATAATTTCATCAACACGGCGCTAAAAATATTCTCGTTCCCTTTACCATCCCTTATTTCTATCCGTACCCACCCCTAAATGCCAGTGACACCTTGCAGTGGGAGCGTTGGGGAGTTGTCTCCTTAATCAACGAACGAGGGAGTCTATTAGTCAGTATTAACAAAATTTTCTTTTAGAAAAAATAATTTCTTACTGTAGCACACACTAATCATCTCTTTCAATTTAACCTTCTTCGCATTATTTCTTTTTTACCGTAGTCACGCAGGAGAGACGTGAGACAAATGTGAATCGCGCGTGGAATCCCATGTTTTCTCGCAACTCAAACTCCTCGCCGCGCGCTTGATTAGGAGGAAACAGAAAAGAATGCGACCAAGGCTACTTTTAACTCGTGACGATAACTCTTCTGTCGGTAGAAGTAAATGCACGGATTCAAAGCAGAGTTGGCCAAACCAAGCAACGCAGACCAGAAATGAAGCTCGTTGTACTCAATATATCTTGTGCTGATGATGGCCACTGGAAGCCAACAAAGGGAGAAGACAAACACAACCAAAGCTATCGTCTTCGCGACTTTCTTATTTCTTTCACGTATCTCTGCATGCATCTGTCTACCGCCTGCGTTTATGTGCAAATCGTCTATTTTAAGAGAGGCACAACCAACTTTGACAAAAATGGCAATACCACTACTTACAATGGCGATATAACAGCACGCGACACCGAAGTTTTTCACATGCTTTAAGACTACAGACCATCGGCCTTGGCGTGGAACAACCACTTCTGGGATGGGAACTACCAGAGAAGCCAGCCAAATGAGTACGAGAACTGCTCTCAGTTTTGAGGACGTCATTTTAACTTTGTGATGAATGGGATGACAGATCGCCCAATACCGATCAAGACTCATGGACGATAAGATCAGCAATGAAGCCGTCGCTGAGTATCTGCCGAGAACAATCGCACCAAGCATTAAAGAACCGTTCCAAGAACATATCGGCACGAAGCCCTTTGTTATCACTGAGATGATCAGAGGAATTGTTACAACAGTGACAAGAAGATCAGCAATAGCTAAGTTCTGAATAAACACGCTACAATTATTGTTTAGATTTGTCGTTCTACTAATCACAAGCAGAACCAGACCGTTGCCAAGAGAACCACCGATTGCCAAAATACTGCACAGGGAAACGGCCACAACGATATCTGTTGTTGTGAGCGAAAAATCTTGGCATAAGGTTGTATTAGAAAGTCCATCCAGGGAACTGGTGTTGATCAAATCTTTGTTTCCACAGTCATTATTTCCTAAAGAGTGGTGATTTCCCAGAATAGTTGAGTTAAATTCCATAACTGCTCGGTTTTGAAAAAAATTGACCATTAAATTTGCCGCGTGCACGCTTGAGAAAAATTTCAGCTGAAAGTGTAAGACAGTAAAAGCAACTGCAATGCACAAGGTCATTCAATTTAAACCGATTCATCACAGGTCGTCGGGGAGATCGGAAATAATTTTATTAGTTAAGTGGCCGGATTTGTTTAACGCCCGTAACCGAGCACATTAGGAGGAACTGATTCTTATCTCTGATTCTTAGCTCTTGACAAATCATATCATGTATTGTGATTTAAATCGACTGGTAGACGACCTTGACTCTCACTCGATCCTTCCACGAGGCTTTTCAAAGGAAACGAACGCCTCTTAATTCTGGCTTTTACGAAGCAAAAACATCCGTCTATCTTAATGACTGTTTTTTTCTAAACTACTAAAGAAGATAAGTTGAACTTGCCGGCAGAAATGTCGGAGGCAGGGAGCAATGCCTGCTTTGAATGCTTTTATCTCAAAGTTCTTTAATTTTTCCTGATGTAACGTCGTTGAAACGGTATCGGTTTTGGTTCGGAGAAAAACTCCGTTTTTTTAATTTTTATTTTTTTTATTTAAAGATTTATTTTTTAACTTTGTTCCTTTTTTCCAAATGCTTCTTTAGAACATTTGTAAACTAAAACCGAATTTCCATTACATACCTCAGGGGAGCAATATCTCTATGCGCCTACCAAAACACTATCAGAGTGTTGTTGTATTCCGTCTTCTATTCTAACCGCGTTGAAAAAGTTGTGCTTTGATGAACAGAGATCCTGTATGCATACAAAAAAAGAAAAAACATGCTTTACGGACACCTGGAGACATCCTTTCACGCTGTTTTGTAAAAGTAAAAAAAAGGATCGTATCCGAATCTTTAATTTGTGAATTGTCGGCGTGTAACGCTTTCCTTTTATCTGTTGAATAGGAAATTAAAGTTGCAAGAGTTATTGTTTATTCCCCTGAAAAAAAAAAGACGTTTTATTCAGTTCACAGAAGGCGTCTTATTGACTGATCAAAGCGAAGACATCTGGTAAGTACACACGAAGTTTTACAAATTTCGTTTTCCCTCAGACAGGTGTCAATCAATTCAACATGTTATTTTCATGGGATGACATTTTGGGGATCCTCCCAAACATGTGAAACTGGAAGCTACAACCTGAAAGCAATTTCTTTCTTACTTTTTTTTTTCTCTAATACAATAATTCAACTCTATATCAACAGTTTTTATCAAAATTATTTCTGACAGCTCTTTCTGACAACTTTCAGGGTAAAAATTGCGTCAAGACGACACCGAAAGGTTTACATATGTAAATGACCAAAATAACCGTGAGAGGCAGTTCGTTGTGGACCAGCATAAGAGATGAGTGATCGACCTTTCGGTGTCTATATATATATAAACCAACGAAAGTATCGCTTAAAAAGAAAAATAATAAATCTATCGGTGTATTTACTTTCTGAACATCGGTTCTTTCAGAACTTGTGGGCAACCTTGAGTTGAATTGAGCGCAAAAATAGTGCGGTCATTTTATTTTTTTCCTATTTCGTACTTTTATCGTTTATTTTGCCGTCACGGCCGAATGGCCCTTGGTTTCGTCTGAAACGTTACTTTAAAAATCATTTTAAACAATCTTCTGAAGACTACTTCGGACAATTTTTAATAACACTACCAAGCACAAACGTCAATCAATTATTTACTGTGTTAATCTTTAGCCTAAAAATTAAATATCCTCAAAATAACGTTTCGGAGAGATTGTCATCTTTTTAAAGTTATTTTTGATAAGAGTGACATCTGCAACATCACTTTATATTCTTTGGAACATAATCCAAAACTTTGCAATTTAATTGTCAATGGAACCGTGCGTTAAAAAAAAAATTTCAGTCTAGATTCAAATATATTGCTTGTGGGTTTTCGGGTAGCTATGAAGAATTGATCGTTTAAGTGTAGTTAGATCATTTTAGGAATAGAGAAAAATAGAGTGCTTTTCGGCTGAGTGTTGTTAAACCACTACTAGAGTGATCACGGAAGCCAATTAGAAGACAATACCCATAAGAGCCAATTAAAACACAGAGTTAAAACAATCAAACTGCCTAAAGCGCGGGAAAACGCGGGCGGTCAAGTCGTTTTAGTTTTGCATCTGATTGGTTTAGAAAGTGGCAAGAATTTTCTGGACCAATCATAGAGCGAAGTAAAGCAATACCATTACAAGCATGGATTACTTTCGACACTCAATTGAAAATTGGTCTAAACTGAGAATTAGAAACTGGAAGTGAATAACCTCTAACTTTTCCTATCACTTTCAAATTACTATCCCGCCAAAAGGTTATGGGAGCCCTCAAACTTAACATCGCTAAACAGGTGTTACCTTTATGCAACACTCATTTATCTGAACTTGTTCATAGCTAGATGTGTTGGAGCTAGTTAGATGCACCTCGTTTACATCTGAGCAAAGATTTTAGCGCTTTGCGGTAGTTTGGCTGCCGACAGAAATAAATCCACGGGTTTACTGTTGAGTTAGCGAGTCCCACTGTAGCAAACCAGAAATAGATTCTATTATTCCTGTCCTCACCGATCTCAATACCTGTAAGATACGCGATCGGGATCCAACACAGGGTGAAGACGACTACAACGAGTGCAATCGTCTTGGCGACTTGTTTGTTCCTCTGGCTCAAATCTGCGGCGAGGCGAGATGTTCCTTGATCCTGGTGAAGTGATCCTATTTGTCTTGAATTGGCGCGAACATTCTTGATTGTAAAAATACCGCTGACGATTATGACCGAATACGAGCAAGCCAAACCAATGACCTGAAGAAATTTGGCGAGGGCTGATCCGGTATAGAATGTCTCTAAAAGAGGGAGGGTCAAAGATGCTATCCATGTCATTGCGATGGCTATCTTTGCTTTTGATACAGTTACAATCGTTTTGTGTTTCATCGGATGGCAGATGGCAAAGCAGCGATCCACACTGAGGGTAGTTAGCGTCAGTAGCGAGGAACTGGCAGAGAAAAGTGCTATTACCCAGGCAGCGAAAATCGGAGCATGGATTATGCATTTATCAAAAAACCCCTGAATTAGGACATACACTACAAGAGGCATTACTACTGCTGTCACCATCAAATCAGACACAGCGACATTTGCTATTAAAATTCCGCACACGTTCCTCAAAGTTGGTGTCCGGTGGATAGTAAGGATCACGAATATGTTTCCCAACGATCCGACGATGGTAAGCGAGGTGTACAAAACCGTTGTCACGATTTCACCAGCGAATCCGAGTGGGAGTTTGCAAAGAGACTCCTCATCTGAAGTCGCCATGTTGTGTTCGAAACATCCGCTCAGTAGACACGTACAGGAAGTTTTACAATTTTTTTTCCTCTCTGAAAAAGATCAATAAATCATCTGTTATGTTAATAGCCTGCAAACTATCGCTAACAATTTAATCTCATCATTTTTAATATGGTGAGATGAATGCAAACAAAAGCACTAATTAAAAAATCGACCAATATTTACTCTGAAAATATATGATATCGAAATACAGATGTGCTCGAATGCTAAATATAGGGGTCAAAACTCTCCTTATTTGGACTTGTGGAGGCAACATTGCATCGAATTGAACGAAATATAAAAACTTGCCGTCGGTGCTTCCGTTCTAAATACAAAACAACGCAAATTGAAATAGTTACGGACAGAAGTTTCGCAAACAACGTCAAAAAAGACTTTCACGCGAGCTCGGCTAATGGATAGTCGTTTTATTTTTACAATTTCACCCCTTTTTGGTTGACATCGCCTGCTTTTGTGGATGGTTGGTTACCCGTGGCCATTTATGACAGCCGAAAATTACTTTTTAAAACCATAATACAATCTCCTACAGACGACCTCAGACAATTTTTTTCTAATCATTAGGAACTTGAGAATTAAGGCGTCACCCACATGCACAAACGTCAATGAATTATTCATCACGTTGGTAGTTAGCGGCAATTGCGTAAACTATCCTTAAATATAGAAAAGTCGGTTTGATAATGTTTCGAAGAAGTCGTTATCTTTTCAAAGTCATTTTTATTAAAAGTAACATCTGCAGGATAGTTTCAATTTCACTCAGTGGGCTATATCAAGAACTTTTGCGGAGTTTGTCACTGCAACCGTTCATGTTGGTAACTTAGTCTAGATGGAAAGGTTTACAGTCAAGTCGCCCGAGAGTCATCTTGCCCGAAGTCACGTAGCCCGAAACCTGAGTCATGTTGCCCGACATTTTAGTAATGTCGTCCGAAAAAAAAAGTCAAGTCGCCCGAAGAAACAAATACTAAAAAGATCAGAATTTTAGACTTTAAAAAAGGCAATAGGGTGGAGAAATTTTTTATCACTAAAGCGCTCTTTGTTTCCGACAACACCATGAAGATTCTTCCAGTGTTGTTCGTTCCTAACAACAAAGGGAAACGTTGTTCGTTTCCAGTGTTACGGTATTTTCTCAACCGCCAGAAAGTTACAACTCGTACCAACTCAACTACTTTATTCAGTGACGTTATTATCTTACTACGGAGCGGTACCAATAACTAGCACAATAACTATTCACTTATCTTAGAGCCCTCTATAAAACTATAATCTCAGTGCACTACTGCACAACTAACAGTTCTCTTCGAAGATCCTTGAAACTTATCGATATCTACCCAACTCTTCTCCAACGTAGCCTTCCACACGGCTGACAATTCCAATAACAATAAAGAATCCCAACGATTCACGCTCTCCGGCTCTGCACTAACACTAGCTTTGCTCTCAAAGAAAGGCTCACTCAAGAAAAGGCTATCTATAACTAATCGCCACTCCTTATATATGTTTTACAAAATGGTTTAGAACATTCCAGAGATCTGTAATACAACTATTTTTAGTAACATTAAGGCCTATTTACACGGTACGACTTTGTCGCATGCGACAAGCTTACGACAGGCCTACGACATGACTTACGACAATTTACACGCGCACGACATTTTCACCTACGACATGCCAAAATCGCGTGCAATTCCACTCGTTTCGGCCGCGGTCATTGTTTCAATAATTTGCAAGAGAAGGAAAAGAACCTCTTCCTCACTCCACAGTGATATCTTATTCTCTGTTTCCTCATCTGAGAATGTATTTTTCGCTTTGGAAGCAGTCTTCGACTTTCCGGAGGCGACTTCCTCCGCCATTTTGACGCAAGAAAATTTCACCTTCCTCCCCTACTCAGTAGAAATTTGTCACAAAATACGTCATTTTCTATCAATTTCGGCTACGATTGTCGCAGCGTTTTAAAACATGTTTTAAAATCCTACGACATTTTTCGTGACGTGCACGACAGTCGTAAGCGAGTGGTATGTTTGATTTACACAATACAATTCGTGTCGTAGGCGTGTCGTAGGCCTGTCGTAAGCTTGTCGCATGCGACAAAGTCGTACCGTGTAAATAGGCCTTTACATTGCTATTACATAATAAGAAATTATGCTGGCTAAGGGTTCTAGAAAGTTCCATTAAGAGTTATCAATGAGTCAGCATGACTAAGCGTTCTAGAAACTTCCTCAATTCTCAATTTCGTAACACAAAGCACTCGCCATAACACCAGTAACAAAATGCAGCGCTGTTCGTTTGGTATGTAATCGTTTCTTACTCACGGACGTTTCGTAAGCTTGAGAAACTTTTTCTTGGTTTCTAACAATACCATGAAGACTTTGACTACACAGAAATCGATCGTATGCTCGGAATTGAAATATGTTTGAGTAACGATTCTTAAAGCGTTTTTCGTTTCCAACAACAAAGGTAAGCGTTCTCCGTTCTGACCAAAAAATGAAGCGTTGTTCGTTTGGTATGTACTTGTTTCTTACTCGTATTTCGTACGCTTGAGAAATTTTATCTTGGTTTGTAACAAAGCCATGAGGACTTTGACTACACAGAAATCGATCATATGGCCAGAAAGGCCATATGATCGACCGTAATCGTCGCACTGTGGGGCTTCTTGGCGTGGTCTAAATCATCATTACACTCAATGTAAGGATAAATGCTCGCTTTGATCAGTTCGTATTCGTATTGTAGCTAGCTTTACCCCCTTCATATATACTTTGATCGGATCAAAATATAAATGCGACCGCCAGAGGAAACAGAGCACAACTATTTTTGCCTATTCTGATCCTAAGGGAAATGATGCTGTCAGACTACTACTGTGAAAAAAGTCACAAGCATAAACAATAGACTGTTATCTTAAAAATATCACACTTACCTTACGCAAGGCAACAAGTTAATTTTATTTGTATGTTACTCGTTTTACCTTTAACAGACTTGTCGAACGTGACAATCGACATTCGTTTACCAGGTGTTTTCATCTGTTATTGTTAAGAAAGTCACAAATAGACACAACAGAACTTTACGTAATATTTAAAAAACGAGCAGGAGTGTTTTATCGGGTTTAAAACCACGAGGCGTAGCCGAGTGGTTTTTGACCCGATAAAACACGTGCTGCGAGTTTTTTGAACGGCTTCAAAAACATTCTTGGAAAAGCGTGTGTCAAGAGAGTTCATAACAATTATGCTTTTGTGAACGTTATAAATTAGCATAAACTGAAAAAAAAACTGCCAACTGATCTTGAATTCGAATTTTTGAATTGTATGTTACGCTGCATCCGCGCATCTGTTGCTATGGAAACGAACAACGCTTCCCTCTGTTGTTAGAAACGAACAACGCTTTTAGAGTCGTTACTCAAACATATTTCAATTCTGACCATACAATCGATTTCTGTGTAGTCAAAGTCTTCATGGCATTTCAAGAAACAAGAAAGAGTTTCCCAAGCTTACGAAATGTCCGTGAGTAAGAAACGAGTACATACCAAACGAACAACGCTTCATTTTTTTGTGAGAAACGGAGAACGCTTCCCATGTTGTTAGAAACGAACAACGCTTTTAGAGTCGTTACTTAAACATATTTCAATTCCGAGCATACGATCGATTTCTGTGTAGTCAAAGTCTTCATGGTATTGTTAGAAACCAAGAAAAAGTTTCCTAAGCATAGGAAACGTCCGTGAGTAAGAAACGATTACATACCAACCGAACAGCGCTGCATTTTGTTATTGGAAACGAACAACGTTCCCTTTGTTATTAGGAACAAACAACGCTGTAAGAATCTTCATGGTGTTGTCGGAAACAACGAGCACTTTAGTGATAAAAAAATTTCTCAACGTTATTGCCTTTTTACAGTCCGAAATTCTGATCTTTTTAGTATTTGTTTCTTCGGGCAACTTGACTTTTTTTTCGGGCGACATTACTAAAATTTCGGGCAACGTGACTCAGGTTTCGGGCGACATGACTCTCGGGCGACTTGACCGGTTACCGATGGAAACATTGCCTGCGCATTTTCAGGTAGCTTTCAAAAGTTGATCCATATTAAGCATTTAAATTTTAGGAATTTTTCGACAGTCGGAAACAGGTCTATGATAAAGTGATTAACTTGCAACTTCTCCCAACATTTTTGAAATGTTATCAGTCCGGAAAAAAGGTAACGAGAGTTCTAAAACTTATCAGTTTAGCAATGTTACTAACAATCTTTTATTCACACTATTCAGGTACAAGGATGAGTAAAAAAAAAAAAAAAGAAAGAAAATACAGAAAACGAAATTATATAGATTATGTAACTATATGTACAATTTTTTGAATCAGTGTGCAACAGCCAAAGTAGCAAAGCTTTCGAGTTGGCTACCACTATGCAACTCTCAATTCTCTGTACTCATTTACAACAAAATGTACCGCAGCTAGATGGGAGAATTGCGATGGTAATCTTAGGAGTTGAAAGGTTCAAACAAGGTACCGCTTTTTCTTTCAGAGGCTGCGATTTTGCTCTTGCACTTCGAAGACGCTAGATGCGCCTCGTTTGACATCCAAGCAAAGATTTCAGCACCCTACCGCCTTACTGTAGTTTGCCGGGCTGACGATGAAAATAAATGTACGGGTCTCCTGCTGAGTTAGAGAGTCCTAGTGTAGCAAACCAGATGTAGAATTTCTCACTGTCTGCATTGATCTCAATTTAATTTTTTCTGTTTCACCTCTTTCTCATTTGCATCGCTGTTGTAGATGGTTCCTTGTGGCGTCTTAACGACACCGAAACGTTACTTTTGAAATCATTTAATACAATCTTATGCGAACTATTTCAGCCGGGCAATTTTTCTGATCACTACGGGTTTGCTTATAATGACAGAAAGGTCAATGAATTATTTAAATTCTGAAACGGATATTTCAAATTTACAAGAAACGTCTCGAAGAATTGTCATCTTTTCAAAGTCATTTTCATTAAGATTTAGTACATCTGTAGCATCGTTTCACTTTCGTTAAGCTGTATCGAAAACTTTTGAAATTTTTACTGAAACCGTATTAAGACAGATTGGTCCTCTTCCAAAGCTTTCAAAAAATAATTTGTACCATCAGTTAGAATTTAGGAATTAGCTGACAGATAAAAATTGGTCAGTCTTCTCAGGCAGCCGCTGCTACAAGCCCTGGTGAATATATTTCTAGTTTCTCGTAACACTTTTGAAACGTTACTACGCAAAAAAGTGATGAGAGTCTCACAACTTATCATTTCTAGTGAATATATTGCTACCTTCTTGTAACACTTTTGAAACTTTACGACGCAAAAAAGTGATGAGAGTCTCACAACTTATCATTTCTAAGCAGGTGTTATCCTTAAGCAACTCTCAATCTCTGATATTACTTACAACAAAATGTATCCCAGCTAAGGGGAGAATTGCGAAGACAATCTTACGAGCTGAAGGGTCCAAACAAGGAGCCGCCTTTTCTCTTACGTGCTCACTTTGGTTCTGTTTCAAATATCCGGTGTCAATGGTTCTCAGGTAGCTTTGCAAAGTTGATTCGTATTAGCACTTGGATTTTAGGAATTAGACGACAGTTAAAAATTGGTTAGTCTTCCCCGTTCAACTGTTCTGTACTCTTTAGCTCTGGATGACTTGTAACTTCTCAAAACACTTTCAAAATGTTATCCCGCAAAAAGCTAATGAGAGTCCCAAAACTTATGATATCTAATCAGGTGTTACCTTTAGGCAATCCTTCCTCTCTGAAATTATTTATAACAAAATGTGAAGTCGATCTTTTGAGTTGGAGGGTATAAACGAGGCACCGCCTTTTCTTTCACCTGGTCAATTTAGTACCTTGTGTTGCATTGCGATTTTGGACTTGCACGACAGCGTTAGATGTGCCTTGTTTGCATCCGAGCAACGATTTGAGCGCTTTGCGGTAGTTTGGCTGCCGATAGAAGTAAATCCACGGGTTTACTGTTGAGTTAGCGAGCCCCAGTGTAGCAAACCAGAAATAGATTCTGCCATTTCTATCTGCATCGATCTCAATACTTATGATAAACGCGATTGGGATCCAACATAAGGTGAAGAGGAACACGACAAGTGCGATCGTCTTGGCGACTTGTTTGTTCCTCTGGGTCAAATCTGCAGTGAGGCGAGACGCTCCTTGATCCTGATGTAGTGATCTTATTTGTCTTGAATTGGCGCGCACATTCCTGATCGTAAAAATGCCGCTTATGACTATGATGGAGTAACAGTAGACCACTCCAATGGTCTGAAGGAACTTTGCGATGGTCGATTCACGGTAGAACGTCTCTAAAATAGGGAGTATCAAGGACTCAATCCACGTTTTTGCAATTAATATCTTTGCTTTTGTTAAAGTTACGATCGTTTTGTGCTTCATCGGGCGACAGATGGCAAAGCAGCGATCCACACTGAGGTTGGTTAGAGTCAGAAGCGATGAACCGGCAGAGAAAAGTGCTATTATCAAGACAACAAAAATTGGAGTTTGATATATGCACTTATCCAAAAACCCCTGAATTAGGACAAACACTACAAGAGGCATTACTACTGCTGTCATTATCAGATCAGACACAGCGACATTTGCTATTAAAATTCCGCACACGTTCCTTAAAGTTGGTGTACGGTAGATAGCAAGAATCACGAAGATGTTTCCCAACGATCCGATAATACCAAGCGAGGTGTACGAAACCATTGCCAAGACCTCGCCAGTGAATCCGAGTGGGAGTTTGCAGTCAGATGCCTCATCTGAAGTCGCCATGTTGTGTTCGAGGCAGTTATGGGTGTCACCCTTCAAGCAATCTCCGTTTTTAACTGTTACGGTGGAACACAACCGAAGCACAGTTGATTTTTCCCAGTTATTACGTAATACGCCTCCGTGGATATCCAACGGGTCACTTTAATTAGTATTTTGTTCGCGATCCGGTATTTTCCGTTCAGGACAAAGGAAAAGCTTAGAGGTCTGCTTCTGAAAAATCTTGGTTACAGCAGATTTCAAGCTTGACAAAAGGAAACACCTGTGTCTTTGCACCTCTATTTTGCTGCTATTTTAAACCCACACTTCAAGGAGGGAAACACACTGTCAACACAGCACTCGATAACTCATGTCAAAATTTTCCAACATCCGCGATCCTGGCATTAAACTGAATAATTCTTTAAACTCTCTCAGAAAATAAGAAATTGCTTGCTGTCCGCTACGATATCAATTGAGGCAATAAGGATTTGACAACCCATAGTGTCATGAGTTTTTCGTATCCATCTTTAAAATAATTTTTTGTTTCAAACGGCGCCAAAGTAAACAGAAAGCTCTATTTGCCAACGGAAAGAGCAACAAATAGAAACTATAACTAATACATTTTCTCATTTACAAAAAATTAAAATTAGACTTGTAATTAATAAGACTTCGAGACTCGCTGGAAGGATTGTTAAATATGAATAATCTTAATTGCAAAAAGATCTTCTATTCACCTATTCACAACGTGATGCCGAGAATCAAGCGAGTAATGACTTCCAAGCTTGTTGGTTTGTTACAATTGGGAGCATCTGCGTTTGGGGCAACAACAACAGAAAATCACGTCGTGTTCAATAAACAAGGTGTATCAGCTTTTACTCCACAGGGAGTAAAAGCTGTTACAAATTTAAAAAAATTTATTAAATACATTACAGAATGGGCACTCTGTACAATTTATCTACAATAATGTGTTTGACAGAACGTGTGTGATTTTCTTGTGACAATCTGACTTTACGTCAGGACACATGCACTAAAAGTTGGTGTTTATATCATTCCTCCTGTTCAGCGGGTTCTCCTTCTTCTACGTCGCTGGTTGCTCCTGTATAAATCAGAATCAAAACGGAAAATTAATGATAAAAAAAGGAAGGCAAGAGAGAGAATTGGATTTCGAACGGATAATACTAAAGGTGTTCGACATTTATCAGGTCTGGCCGAACCGAAAGCACTGGTTTTTATTTTTTCATGGTGTTATTAGAGTGTTTTTGATCATTCTCAAAATTCTGTCGGAGATTGGGGTCGAATATAATTAAGATTTTTGATTGGCAGGTGTCACAAAGCGTGTCCCTTTTTATCGTGAGTTTTGTAAAGAAATGTGAGAAAAAAAAATTGCAAAATTGTGACTTGTTTGGGAACCTAAATTACTATTGCTAATGTAGGCGATTATTCAATGACCAAATTTCCTGCTATTTGGACAAGAGATAAACATTGAAGATGAATAATGACTAGTGCCAGGCGAGTTTACCGTGAACAATTTCTGTCACTTCTCTGCACAAGCTCGCTCAACTTACGGCCCGAGGAGGGTCTGAACGTTCATTTTATCATAACTCATGTGATTTTTTTTTTAACTGATAGGTTAAACAACGTTATTGAGCAGCACTTATGATGGTGACTTACCCTGATTGGGGGTTACAGGTGCTTCACCTGGTATGGAACTGAAAGGGGATTAAAAAAAAGCGCAGTTTAGTTTGGCTGTAACCAGGAGCCCATTACCCGGAGCCTCCATACCAATCGTACCCTTGAGTCAACCCTGTCCCGTATCTTTTTATTTTTAGAACTGAGATATGTTGGGGGTTCTTTAATTTTCCGCGAAAACACGCTGACGTTCGCATAAAACCCTAAAAAAATGGCGGCCAAAGGCGAAGTTTGACCTCTATTCCTTCTCTGCATGTGACGTAAACAATACGGAGGACTACAGCTCTCTTATGATTGGCTATTATGTAAACACCCGCGAAAAACCCCGTGGGAGATGCTTCTAACAATAAAAAGATACGAGACAGGGTTGACTCAGAGGGTAAGTATGGAAGATGGAAGCTCCGGGTAATGGGCTCCTGCTGTAACTGAATGACGTAAACTCATAGAGGAGCGCTGGGACTAAGGGTTTGAATTTTAAAGAAAGCAAGATACAATTCAACGCCAATTTTCAATTAATTGTCGAAAGTAATCCGGAATTTATTAGGTTTTGCCTTATTTCGCTCTCTGATTGGTCCGAAAGCTAGCACGATTTTGTCAACCAATCAGAGTCAAAACCAGAAGCAGTCGCGACTTGGCCACCGTCGCGTTTCCCGCGCTTCAAGCAGTTTCCTTGTCTTTACTTTGAGTTCTCATTGGCTCCCTTTGATATTTCCTTTTGTTCTAATTGGCTGTTATGATGACTCTGGTTAAACGACATCCAATCAAAATGCGCTCTAGGTTATACCTTCTTCTTGATCCCGCCTCGTCTCCAGTCTCCTCCTCATGTTCCTCGCCAAACGGTGCCAAAGTCAATGGATTAAAACCGGACATGGGTTCTCCGATGATACCAACTCTGCAGGGAAAAGAAAACGTTGACTTGACGTCACAGTTACTGTCACATTCCATCTTAACAGCATACTAGTCTAAAAAACCATGTCCCATAATTCTTAGAATCTCAATAAGACTTATGGGGGAAACCTTTTTTGGGTGCAATAGACTTGAATTGGAACTCCAAAATTTTGGAATACCAGTCAAAAGGAATGGTACAAACTTAGGCAGTGATAGACAAACCATCGAATTTGAAGAAGAAGAAATCTAAAAAAGCTAAATCTTTTCTGCAATGTCAGAACAAACATTTACGAAAAATGAGAACTGATAATTTACTCTTTACATGTACATCATCAACTACCACGAATTTACTTACTTGGGTTGAAGGATAAGACCCAGCTTTTCTTCTTCGTGTGGAATCTCACTGCAAGAATCATAATTTAATGAACATTTTGTGCGTCACAAGTGAGCAAAGAAGGAGCATCGTCGTGGCACTTGATACAGTTTCAGATGCAGTTCAAAACCATTTTAAAATTTACCGAAGGAGACTACAAGTATTTTTTCATTGAGATAGATACACGAACAAGAGATGACACTTAACAAGCAGGAACAAGGATGGATGAGATTAAAACGGATTTCTAACGAAGCGTGCTTGAAAATAGTACACGAACCGTGATTTCACAATGTGCGCGCGGTTACTTGGGCAGCGAAGGAAGGAAGGGGGTGAGTTTTCGCGTGCCTTGCCATTTTGAACACACATAGCACCTGCTATGACATTTCAACGAAGTAGCATTTACGACTATTCTGCATGCAGAGCCAACCATCTGTCACTTTTTGAAAGGAGTTGAAAATTTCATGACGATAATCTTACTTTTCCGACAAGGGAAGAGCTTTGGTGCGATCAAGAAACCACGGACTTGCTTCCTGTGAGGTCGGTAACAGGGACACCAGCACCGGAGAACGTTGGCTGTAAGAAAAACAAACCTCGTCACAACTAGCCTCACAGGCATAATTGCTTTTTTTGTTTGAAATTTCAATGTCAAAGTGTAATAATGCAGGACCAAGAAGAGAAAATCAGTTTTAAAATTAAAATTGAATCATGAAGTTGTGAGTATCATTCAATTCGTACTTACTTGATAATTGACTTGATAGGCGGTCGCTTTCTGTGACGCAATCAAGGCAACGGCGATATTTAGAGGAGGTAAAGTATGACAAGGAGACAATCACTTACATATACAGTTTAACTAATTCAAGAGCATAATGTTCTGTAGCTCTGAAAGTTTGTCATGCATTTGGACTATGCTAGTGTGGAAATAAATTCTATCCACGGGTCCTAGACACCCGGGGTCTTAGGTGCTGAGATGAGAAGAAAAGCAGATGGAGTGGCCTTCCAAATGTCCTCGGGAGACGAGGCGGGCTGTGAGAGCTCTTTTGCAGTAAGACAAAATAATGAATAGGGCATGGAGGGGAGGGTTAAAAAGTCATCCGGCCGGGACTTGAGCCCAGGCCTCTCGGTCCGAAGTGCCGAACTAATCTTTTTCTTGAAATCAATTGATAGACTGTGAGTTGAACTGTAAAAAGGATATTAAAACACTTACGGTTTGAGCCTACGATATTCGGCAGGTGTTAACGGCTGCTTGGTGCTGTCTTTGAGGCGATCCATAGCATACACCTCTAACAAGAAAAAGGTATGATATGTCAATTACGTTATGTTTCTTTCGGTAATGTGCCCTTGTGTTTAACGTTACGTTATGTGAAGTCACGCGTGAGTACCTTCAACTGCTTGGGGTCGCCCTGCTGGGTTGAATGTGTCTGAACGAAACAATCTGATGAGAAAAGGTAAACTGAGTATGAATAAATACTGAAATAAACAAAAATAGGAATTTTATCCTGATAGTGATGCTGATTATGATGATAATAATGATATGGCCATGACATTGACATTGACATTGACATTGACAGGGGAAATGACAGTAATAATAATAATGACAAGGATGATGTCAGTGATATTGATCATAATAAGAGATCATGGTCACTTAAATATTGATGATTTTTTTAAAAATATCTATTGTGTTAAATGAAACACGTATACCTTCCCAGTTCTTTTTGTATTAAATCCAAATGTTGTCGTCTAAATGCAACGTAGGTCACATATGCAGAAAATGGGTAAAGAGCCTTTGGAATAAGAAAATAATGAAATCAAAAACGTGGACAAATGCATTAAATGATCCAGCCAACCTTAAATTACCAGGCCCTTGTTGTTCAAAGGCTGAATAGCACTACCCATTGGATAGATTGTTATCCAGCTGACACAGTAGTTTTGTGAACACTTATCCCCTGGATAGCCATTTATCCAGTGGACAGCACTATTCAGCCTTTGAACAACCCAGGCCAGGCATGAAATGAAACCTATCATGTTCTTATAACTGTACATATAACAATGAACTTACCTCATAGAGTTCCCTGTCTCTGCTTGTGTATGAGCTGCGTTGTCTAAAATTTAGCAAACAGCAAGTTAGAGACAACAACAGAGGGAATTTATTCCAGACCATGCCCTGGTTGTTTGAAGGGTGGATAACATTATTCACTGGTTAACCCTCTAACTCCCATAAGTGACCAAGACAGCATTTCTCCTTACAATATCCACACAATATCAATCAGATAAGAGATGAGAATAAAGAAAAATATCCTTAATTGATCCAATACTAAATTCTCTGAACTAACATAAGAATTGTGTAGTTGACAGTAAAGGAGAATTACAAATTTGATCTGGGAATTAAAGGGTTAAATCTCTATCCAGTAGAAAGTTTCGCCAACACTAATATCTGCTGGATAGCAATTTATTCTTTTGAGAGTTAGCAATTTTTTGCAGGATAGGGATTAATCTGTTGTATAGCATTATCCAGCTTTTGAACAACTGGGCCCAGACTGATATACATGTATGTTAAGTTGACTCCAATAAAGCACTGGGTGGTCAATCCATGGACCTGTTTTCTCTATATTATATCACCTAAAGGGAATAAAAATTTCCCAACCTGCTTTCCTCCTCCTCTAATAATAAGATGAGGTGGAAAGTAAGATGGAAAATTATCATTTAAAGTGCTTCCTTGATTCCTTGACACATTTCCTAGTAAATCTAACACCAGAGCTCTCTCATGATTCACATATAAATGTGTCGCATAAAAACTTTGTAAGGCTTCATTTTGTTACTTGCAGGTTTTGAGGATTCATGATCCCAAAAATATCTCTCACAATAAAAAAAAGGAAGCAAGATAGACAGCACAAAACAATTTACTTAATCTACCAGTCAAATGGAACATTCCGTAAGTGAATCAAAAGTGTCAGCTGTTCTCAATGAATTCGGACTCACTAACAGAATTCCATCTATATTTCACCTCTCAAGAGGTGCCCCATTACATGACTCAAAAAGTTGAAAAATTAGAAAATTCCATCTATCTATCCTCTCTTTATGCACAGAAAATCACAAACATGTGAGTTCCCAGCAAAAATTTTGGTGATCTCAGGCTGAAAATTTGGTCCTGCTAAGCACTGAAAATACTACCAACATCCAAATAAAAAAATTCTGCAAATTAAATTTCATGTACATGATACTTCTTATCTTTTCTTCAAGAAATAATTACCTGCCACAGCCCATGTGATGTTTATCTTCCAGTCCAAGCCCAAGAACAAGTGTACAGTAACATTGTCCTAGAAGTCTCTGTGCTGATTCTTGTTTGGAGACAGCTGTTGCAAGCGCTTTTCTCTCAGCTAGACTTGGTTCACTGCGCAGGAAAATGATACAAGTTAGCAATTGCTTTGTTTACTTCTTCTTTTCATTGTATTGCATGTATAATTACATGTAAACTCTGTGGATGTCATAATTAAATACAAATACGTCTTACCAATATCACACTTTGATGCGTCATTTTTAAGTTACTTCTTGGATCAATATCAGTATCTGGGCAACTGCCCACATACCCCTCCCCTAACCCAACATTAACCCTAACTTGTTATCAATTGACTGATAGCAAGTTGTCAGATACTGATATCAATCCTACTTCTCACTGCAGCACAGATCCTTCTTCTCTCTGCAGCACAGGAGTCATTTCACAGAAAAAAAAATGGACCAAGATTTTACAGTTTAAATCTTATTTTTTCTTTGCTCTTCACCTGCAGGCTCAAGGTACTAACCTAGAACATTTCTATAGCCCTCACACTAACATCATTCTAAAGCTAGCTTAGCCAAGCTAATATAGGTTTGGCATCATCAGTATCAAAAAACCACTCATTATCTTTCAGTAAATCTAAGGCAAGGCCACATTATGGACTCATAGAGAAAGGTGTAATGTAAACTTTTAGAGTGGAATGTTAAGTCCATCTCTTTCATATGAAAGTGTCAATATCACTTACACTGCCATTGGTTTTGGTTTATTTTCAATAGCCATCCTCTCAAAGAATGCATCAAAGTAATTCAAAATGGCCAGTTGAAATTCATCAAATTGTTCAGAGCTGGAAAAAAAAGATTCAAATCTTCCAAATGCTTCAAGCATCATCAAGTACGGTAACAAGCATAGTGTAGCTATGAAATTTTAATACATTACTGAAATCTGCCCCCTCCCCCCAGAAAGTTTCTTTTTCTTTTTTTGTGCTTCATTTGAATATGTGATTTTCTAAGGCCACATCAAGCCTCAAATTTCAATCACTGCTTGTCAAATGGTTGTTATTCAATTTTTGGGTCAGTGCACTATTACTTGTAGCTTGTAGCTTTAGCCTGTAATCAAACTGGATCTCCACAATTCATGGAGTCTTACAAATCTAGCGACAAAAACTTGGTCTAATCATTGCCATCAAACTGATCCTGGTTGCCATAGCATGAAGCAACCAGGAGTAAACCATTGAAACAAGGCCAGACCACAACACTGGGAACTAAATTGTTTGCTATGAGAAGTGCATGGGTTCTCTAACATCTGCTAAACAGCACAGAGAAGATGCAGGATGCATTGCCTATGATTTCTCATCCTTACCCAAGAAGACTAGGATGTCTAACCATTTGCAAATGTCATAGCAAAGACAGCACATTCTGAGCAGTTATTTTAAGACATTGAGTGTTGGTCCAGTCTGGGAATTGAATCCTTGACCTCATGCACAACAGTCTAGCACTCTATAACTTGAGCTAGGCAAGCGGCAATTGCTGCTTCCCACCTGACCATTTTGTTAAGCTTCCTTAAGAGTTAACTAGTACCCATTTAAACTCCTGGACAGTAAGATGCTCTTTTGGCCCAAGAATTCAGCACAATGACACAGCCAGAGCTCTAGCCCTGACCTATTCAATCCACATTCTAACCAATTATTCACAGGGCTGCTGTGTTTCCTGCAACTTTTACCTATAACATTCCTGAAATGCTGGAGGAAGGAGGTCAACATCTGGCATGGAATCTAATGCAACACTCTTGACATCATCCAGTGTTACAGTTGCATGTTCATTGGCTGCAGCTGGCTTGACACTTGGGCGTGGTGAGGAACCTTTCATGTTACCAGCTCTTTGTACCAACAGGTATGCCTGGCCACGACGAGATGTTGCTCCTGTAGCCCCGTAGTTTTTGGACATGACTGATGGTGTACCCCTGAGTGAGGAACAAACAAAGAGCTATGTTTTTGTTACGGGAACATATGAAAATTAAAATCTTCAGCCTCAAGAATAAAATCACTAAATAAAATCAATAAGGAAATTAATCTCAACAGTGACCTTTCTTTGATTAATATGTGTATTCTGCATTTTGAATAAGTGATTTCTGTGCATTTTTTTGATGTGTACTTCTTCCTTGGGTATGAAACAAACTCACATGACCAACTCCTACTTTACATCTCAACATTAGTACACATATCTGCCACACTGTTCTCTATACATTTCTTAAGGTGCTAAAAAGGAGAGTTTGTCAAAAGAGGGGGTGTCTACTGGAAGGAGAGAGCATTCATGGAGAAAATTTTGACTTGTACTGATTCTGCTTAAGTTGAAGATTTAGAAGTTATAAATCAAGAGGCAATGGAGACAGGTTTTTTCTCGTATCTCTACTATTTAAGAAAGCGAGGGAGGAGTGGGGGTACTTATTTGAGGGGGGGTGCTTGTTTGATATTATAATTATAACAAGGGGGGTGGGCACTTATTTTTGGTGGGTGCTTATAGGAGTGTGGTTACTTGTTCGAGGAAATATGGTAATCACAGGGAAAAGTTATGTGCTAATAATTTCTGGTAGTTAAAGGGTTAATCAAGAAAAAAGAAAAATTTATCAACAACTCTATAATTCTTAGCTTTGCCTTGCCTATCATTTTTCTTGTTCAGGTCCTGAAAGTGAATTCCTAAGCCTCCTTTGCTTCTTTTGGATTTGTTTGCAGCTAGATGAAAGTTAACACCTTTATCAAAGCTTCCAGGAACAGTGCTGTTGACAGAAGAAAAACACAACATAATTCAAAGCTAATGTTTCGCATGTTAGCCCCTCATCAGAGCTAATGAATGAAGGGCCACCCCTCAAAATGTCAGCTTTGAAACTCTTTACGATGGCCAATTTACGTTATCAACTCAATTGATAACACTAAATTGCCCTGTTATACTCTCCCACTTACACAGCACCACAGTTTCTTTAGAAACTTACCCCCTCTATTTATAATTCATGCATAAATCACAAGGAGTATACAGTCGAACTTGTATTAAGCAGTCACCCATGGTAGGGTGACGGTTTTAAATACACCTTGGTTCCACAGATTTGGGAAATTATGAAAATGGTAAAAAAAATACCTATTTATGCCATAATTGACCACTTCATATGCAGAATCTTGCTCGAAAGTACTACTTTCTTTGATTTGGGAGAGAAAAACGGATTAAAAATTACTTCAAAGATTATTCTTAGTTTGATTTGAGTGGCCCTGCTTTTAGTGACTGTTCAGTACAGGTTGAGGACAATGAGATGAAACTGTGGTGTTACGTAGGTGTGAGAGTCTAACAGGGTAATTTAGTGTTAAATCACTATAATTCACCTGAATTTTAGTGATTTAGGTAAAAAAATTCGGGACTTTGACGACTGACCGCTTAATACAGGGTGCCCTCTCAATATGGTGACGCTTTATTGATTCAACGGTAGTTTTATTCAGGACATTCTCGGGAGATACCACAGCAGTTAAGATGTGCATATAAAGGATTCATGTCACATTCTCTCCGGATCTATATTTCGTGCCGTTTTCCTTCTCGTTGATTTAATTGCAACCTCTGCGATGGTCAATTTGGACCAGTCCAAGTTAATGAGATCACCATTAACGTCCCTTCGAAACTGTGGGGAAAATAAATTTCATAGCGAATAAAATATATATTATTAGTCTCTACTATCTTACCTTACTGGTTCCAGTGTGTTTGTGTCGTCTTTCCAAATCCATCTTCTACTGAGCTGGGAAGGCTTATACTGTGCATGTATCGAATTGAATAGCAAAATAATTATTTTGGAGAGGCTTTTAGAAGTCAGGTTGTTTCATGATTTATGTACGATCCATTGATAATTTTTCTTTATAATTTTAAAACAATATTTGGTGAAAATTATCTTATAGTACATATTTACCAAGTCTTCCGTTTGGGCCATTGTGATTCGGAGCAAAATTGCTTTGTATCACATAAGAGACGAAGAACTCGCCATCTTGTTTATGTTTCTATGACGATCATATTGCGATCGATGATCGACAAGAAGTCGTTATTGAGATAGGCAATGCTCGGTAATTTCCGTGGAACTTCGCAATATTCCGTGTAGAAATCGTACCGGGTCTTGACCACAAGGCCTTGCGACTCAAGCTATATCATCCGGGATATTCTCTTTCTCTTCGCTCACGGCACATGTCTAAAAATGGCGACTGTTTTGTTGGGCGGAAGAAAACTCGCCGATTTACGAGTGGTAGATCTCCGTCAAGAGCTCGAAAAAAGAGGCTTAGAGAAAAGTGGAGTGAAGGCAGTATTGTTGGAACGATTACAGAAGGTAACTTGTACAGTTATTTCTCGAAAAATATATGATATGGCTTGAGCAGATGCTGGCGGGAACGAGAAAACACCAGATAAGCTTATTCCGAAAGTCGGGTTAGCTTCCGATCGAAGCGTTCTAATTTCTGTATTTCTGTAGGCCTTGGAGGTAGAAAAGGATTATGAAGAAGAGACCTCAGATTTCATCCCAATTGATAGTGTGGATCTTACTGGTGAAGATGACGAAGACGATTCGGAAGAACAGCCCTCAGCGAGTCCGATTGCGTCCCCTCAGAGGCAGAAACAGCCGAAGAAAACTTCGATCACCCCAGACTTAAGTAAGCACATATGTTACCAGCTGTTTTCCCTTCTGAGTTTATTGATCCCAGGTAAAATTGGGAATTCTTACATTGTTGTTATTGTTTTTTTTGTCTCTCTACAGAGAGGAAAGCTGCACCGAAAGTGGAAGAACCCAAGGAGTCGGTCAGTGTAAGCTTACTAATAAAAACGTTGTGCTTTCCACTGTTATCGCTAAACTAATTGTGTGGTAGTCGACCGTTCCATTTTAGTAAAGTTTAAAAAGGTGATATTGTTACTGGGTTCAATTGTTTGTTTTCAAGTGAAGTAATTGTGCATGCCTCAACAATATTAAAACGATTATGGAATGAAACTCTACATCCTACAGCATCTTTCGTCTTGACTAGCACAAGTCATTATAATTTTTGGACGGGTGAAGTAAAATTTTTCCAAGAAAAACATTTCTTTTCTTTATCGTTGTCCATGGAGAAAATTTTTAAACACTGCTTCTTTCTTTTGACAATTTTTTTTTAACTGTCAACAATTTTTTGCTTTTGTGATAAACATTACCCCCTTTATTCATTTGTTTTTAATAGGTCAAGGACGAAGGTGATACTGTATTGGATGTTGATCTAAAGGAGGATAAAGCCTTCAAAGAGGAGCCTTTGGATGCTGATGATTTAGACAGTAATAAGCTTGACAGCATAATTGACACCTCATTGACAGTGAAATCTGAAGTTGGTGATGATAACAATGATGATGGTGATGATAATGATGGTGATGAGGTCAATGATGATGATAATGATGACGATGATGATGATGATGAGGAGGAGGAAAAAAAGGACAGTGAAAAGGATGTTGAAGAAGATGATGGAGACTTGATACCAAATGAGGGAGATATTAAAGTGGAGGATCTGGAGGAGCAAAATGACTTGGATAACAACAAAGAGGTAGGCATTGGAGGGCAAAAAAGTCTTAGGCCATCAGACTACATACATCTCAATTATCATTTTATATTTCCCATTACCACTGACAGAAAACTGTGACAATGAACTCCTGGTTCTTAATGAAATGTGAACTTACATTGCATTTTATTTGAGTAATTAATAAACACAATCTTTTGTGTTGTGCAGGTTGATGACCATTCTCTGATTGAAGAAGAAAAAACAGAGGAAACAGAAGAAGGTGCAATAATTTCTGCTTTCTTTCTATCTCAGATTTATTTTAAATTGCATTTCTCTATGTAAGAAAGGGTTCTATCTTATTAACTGATCCAGGGATTGGTTTGTTTTCAGTAGTCAGCTTAGCTTCTCACCATCAGCATTCTGAAAATATTTCTAAAGGATTTTCTGTTGGGCTTAAAGCCATAAAATGTACATTTTCCTGAAAAATTGTCAAAAATAGGCATTCGATAAATCACATTTCCTTCAAGGAAAATGTATCAGAGAATGTGGTTGTTTATGTTAAATACTTCCATAAGCTTTTTCATGGAAAGAACTAAAATCACTGCCTTGAAGTTTGTAATTGCTCAGAATGAAAAAGGTGAAAATGTTTGTTTACATCAGACACCCACGAAATGGAAGGTACAGAAGAATCAGCTGATGTTGAAGAGCCAATGGAGACATCAGGACCAGCAGAAATAAGTGTAGAAGACACAAGTGAACAAATGAAAGATGACAGTGCTGCAGCCATGGACATGTCAGAGCTTGATGGTTCCAAAGAGAACAGTTTGTCAGTCTCGTTATTTGTCCATGCAGATGACGTACAAGATGACCTTGATGATGATTTGAAAGAAGCAGCTGCAGCAGAGGCTGCAGCAAAAGAGGCAGCTGCTGCAGAAGCTGCTGCTAAGAGTCAAGAAAAGGGAGAAGAAAAATCTGAGAAAGGTGCCAAAGCTGTTTGTTTAGATTGTGTATCTTTTTTATTGTGAATTTTAGATTAGCACATCATATGAGTTAAATTTGGCCCAACTATGTTTGTGACCACACATTGGTGTTATGTGGAGTCACCTCCCTTATTGGAAAGCCTAGAATTAAAACCCTAAAGCAAAAGTGTTACCAGTTCACAAAAGATTTTCTGTAAACAAGGAGCCCTCAGTCATGTTGCTGATGCTTTTTCATGGTTCCTTATTGGGACAAGTACAGTATAAAATCAGAACTCACTCAACTGCTTCTAGATGAGATAGCAGGAGTCCAAGTAAGCACTGAAAACTTGTTTTCAAGAATTAACAGCAAGAAAGAAAGAATATCACCAAAGCTGGTGCCATGGGATAAGGAACACAATATCTGTTATACCTCATCATCTTGGAAATCAAACTTGGTCCAGGTGGAAAAAGAAAATACTGAAGAGTGGAACTTTATAACCATCAAATCATCTGTTTGTTAAATGCACTATCTACTTAAGGCCAAGTTGGAAATGGGGATTAAAAAATCTTTAGTTGCAATTATTCCTATAACTGAATCTTTGGTGGTCCTTCATGCAACAATTTCCTTTCTTTTGATTGCACTGCAAAATATCTTCATCATTTGATTATCATTGGCATCACATATGTATTGTAAAGAAATTACATGTACTGTAAAGAAAGTGGTGAGCTAAGAAAATACTTTTTCATCATGGGGAGAGTTTTGGATTATGCTTGTGAAAATGTTTACTTATCAGTAATATTATTGGCTAGTTGTGTATGATATTAAGTTTGAGAGGAGAAATGCTTTCAAACTTTCTTCCTTTTTTTTTCCTTTTTCTTTTTTTCTCTTTTTTTCCTTCTTTTTTTTTATGCATGGAACCAATGACATGTGCAGAATTCCCTCTCACTATGGAACTACATTTTACAATCTAACCCTTAACCAGTGAATACACCTTTTGATGACTCTTGATGAATGTTCTCTCTGTTTTATTTGTTTTTTTGTTTGAAGTCAGGGTTTGATTCTAAGTCAACTTATCAACTTATTTTTGCCAGGGAAAACCAAGGATGCTGAAAACCATGTTGGGAAAGAAGACACCAAGGCAGCAGATAAAGCAAAAGAAGAGAAGGCTAAAGATGGAGGAAGTTCAAAATCCCAAACATCTTCCTCCCAGAGGTGCAGTAAGATTAAACAATTCTGAGAAGTAAATGACAAATTAAAGATGGTTTCAGTTAAATTTTTAAATTTTTTTGTATTGACCAGTTGCTGCTGGAACAGTTGTGTCACACCCTATGTATTTCATACTTCATGCAGGATGAGTAGGCCACATCTCCAGGCATTGTAATTGTAGCTTGAACTTCTTTTAATCCTTAACTCCTAAGATCTGATTGTTATTTCTCCCATTACTCATTTCCTTATAAACTAGTTTCAAGAATTTGCTGTTAGATCAAGAAAACTTTTACATGTTAATTTGGAGTATTCTAATAACCTGTGTGCTGGATGCCATATGGTTATTATAGGGAGAAGTTACATGTTAATCGCTTTAGGTAGTGAACAAGTTAACTGCCACTTTCCTGAAGACTTTTTTTTATATCTGGTATAACATCACCATTGTGGGTGTTTTCTAAAGCTTTATAGAGATCTATAAGAAATCAGTTAGCTTGCCACACTTTTAACCCTTTAACTCCTAGAAGTGATTGAGAGGTAATTTCTCCCTAAATTATCCATACACCATCCAGCAAACGGGTTATGAAAACACTAAAACTCATCATGTATAAGTTGTTATTCTTGATCTAATACCAAATTCACTTATCTAATTTTAAAGGAAATGTGTAGTAGCTAGAGGGGAGAATTAACAATCAGATCTGGGAAGGTTAAGGGTTAAAACTGAGGAAGACTTTAAAAACGGTGTTCTTAATTCTCTTTCACTTTGCTTTCAGTGAGAAAGGGAAAACAGGTGAAGCTAAGAGTAAAGATTCAAAAGCTGCTGACAACAAGACAACCAAAACACCAGGAAAGAGTGCTTCCTCTGCAAAGGACAAAAAAGAAACTGGAAAGAGTCTGTGGGTGAGCAATCTGTCATCTGTAACAAGAGCTGCAGACCTGAAAACAAGGTTCAGTCAGTATGGAAAGGTGAGGAGTGAATTTATCATGAATTCTAAGAGTTTCACAGTGTTCTCCCTCAATTTAAGCATGACAGGTAAAATAAATTTTCAAACCTTTGGAGCAATCCTCTCCCTGATCAATTTCCAAGAATTCCAAGCAGTTTTTTGCTGTATTAGGAGTTTCTACAGGAAGTAAATATCACTGGTTACTGCCTGAAAAGGAAAGCACTGGTTTCATATCTTGTTAACCTTATTTTTGAAATAGTTGGCCTTTGTACAATCTTTAAAACCTTTCCCTCCCAAGATCTCATCAGTAATTCTCCTTATTGTCTTCCATACAATTCTTTTGATGTTAGTTCTGAGAATTTGGTATTGGATCAAACAATCCTCTAATTGATATTTTTCTTAATTCTCTTCTCCTGACTGCTTGATATTATATCAGTTTTGTAAGGAGAAATTTTGTCTTGGTCACTCATAGGAGTTAAGAAGGTAGCTTGGGGTAAAATGTCAATTAATGTGCAGGGCATGAAATTAATTTTTTTTTCTGATAGCCACTTGGCTCCTAAATTCTTCAAAGTGGTAGCCAATTCAAAAAAAGCTGGTTGCCATTTTCAAAGACAAACAAAACCTTTTGTTAAGCTGTCAGCGTTCTAGATAGACCCTCCAAAATTAAGTTAGGGAAAAGATCTTTAATGTGTTACAAAGTGGACACTAGGATGGATAATATACAACGGTTAAGCTCACCTAAATCCAAGATGGCATCTCGTTATTGATCAAGATGCATGTGCTGTGTTTTGGAAACAAACTAAATGAGGAAGTTTGCCGCTGATTTATCTTTGCAAATCTTTTTAATTCACTATATCTCTTGGTAAGGTTATGATGAAACATTCTAGTCACCAATTTGGTGACTAATTTTCAGGATTTGGTTGCCAAAGTGAAAAATTTAGTCGCATTGGCACCTGTATTAGGCGCAATTTCACACCCTGATGTGGTGGCTCTCTTTAATTTTTTAATAGTTTGGTAAACCTTGATATTTTACTGTTGTATACCCTAGTAAAGTTCTGGACCAGGTTTTTCAAAGCTGGGTTCAGATAACCCTAGGTTGTAGATAATTCTTTTTGTTTACAATCTGATGACTGGATGCTTAAGAAAAAAAAGTGAAAATTATCCTATTAATCTCTCTTCAAGCAACTGGGCTATGAGCTTCCTTGAACAGTTCAAAGCCAAGTGGAATTAGCCATTGCATAAATAGTTACATTATTCAGGGAAATGATACCTTGTAGAAGTGATATGAAAAGTTTTGTTGAGATGCTCAAATACTGAGGGGGAAACTGTTTTTTGAAACTGTTCCTGGTTTTTAGGTGGTTGGTGCTAAGATTGTGACAAACTCCAAGGCTCCTGGTGCCCAGTGCTTTGGACTTGTTACCATGTCAACCAGTGAGGAGGCTGCCAAGTGTATATCACACCTTCATCGCACAGAACTGCATGGAAAAACTATCACTGTGGATAGGGTAAGTGAATCATTTTCTTTTGGTAAAGAACTCAGCTAGTGAAATCTTCTTTAGTTGGTCTGGTGGCATAAGAGAAATAAGAAAGAAGAGGAAAATCCAGGCATGAAAAGTGTGTGGCATGAAAACCTTGCAGTATTTTGGTGAATCTTTTGGTTGTGTAGAAACAAATTTTTTGTTATAAAGATTAACCAACAAAGTTTGGTGGTTTTGGCTCATATCCAGAAATGACTGATCTTTTGTGGTGGTCTTTTATAGGCTAAAGGTGATCGCATACCTACAACTCAATCTAGCTCTGCCAAGAAGCCAACAGATAAGAAACCAGTTGATAAGAAGCAAGCTGACAGAAAGCCAGCTGTCAAAAAGCCTGCAGAAAAGAAGCCAGTAGAGAAGAAACCAGCAGAAAAGAAACCAGCGGACAAGAAACCAGCAGATAAGAAACCAGTGGAGAAGAAGGACAAGCCAGGTATGTGTAGTTATGCAAAGTTGTAAATATCCAGGTTCTAGCCAAGGAAATACTCTGTTGGTTAAGAGCTGGCCCAGCAAGAGATATAACAAGATTTGACTCCCAATCTTTTGCAACCCCTTCACAGTGAGGCTACTAAGCGTCATGCTCACACAATGACAATTGCATGATGATGATACATGTTATTTGTTCCTATTAAGGTACTTGAAAGTCCCCTGTCTCCCCCCCTCCCCCTCTCCCCCTCCCCCTCCCCCTCCCCCAAAACGAAATGGGTGAGAGGTAAAGGTAAAGGTAAAGGAGAGGTATCAAGAAATGCAAATAGTAGTAGAGTGGAACAAGACTTTTACCACTTGATGTACATCTGATAGATTTGCACACACTTTTTTAAACTTGGAGTTTGTCAATGAAGCACATATGGCACTGCACTTCATTCTTTATACCAATGAGAGCGACTTCACACTTAGCCACATCCATGTTACATAAATTTCGGCACCAGATCACAGAGGAAAAGACGACCTCGGAAGTGGCCAATTGAAAGCCATGGAGTAGTTAATTAATGTTGCATTGTTCCTCATACTTATGTTTAAGATTCCCCTTTTGATCTGTTGACAGCTGACTCATCAGACAAATCCAAAGCAAAAACTGATGACAAGAAGCCACTAGCAAAGAAACCTGTGGAAAAGACTCCTGGTAAATCAACAGCCACTAAAACACCAGCTAAGTCATCTTCTAGAACTACTCCAAAACAACAGAAGTCAGGTTAGTCTAATACTAATAGATTTATTATGGACGCAATTTTAACAGCATTGCTTAGAGCAACTGTACCCTCTTATACTTGGCTTGATCCTTTCTTTTCCTCTCTTATCGGATTAGAAGAAATTCTTCTGGTTTTCTTTTAGCTGGACATATTTTTCAACTTCCTTTGCGTGGATTGTTGCTGGATAAGCTTTAGGGATTGTGGTGATAGTATGATTCGTGTGGAATGGTGGTGTAACTTTTAGGATGGTTCATCCAGTTACATGCCATCATTTTTAGGTTGTTCAGTGTACAGAGCTCCATCACTGAGTGTTTCTTCAAAGCTAATGAATCAGTGTCCTGTTGCGTTGCATTTCCTCTTACTCATCCTTCTCTATGGTGGTCAACAAATCACTTGTAAATCAAGGAAGCATTTGATGGAAATGAAGAGCTTAATGACAGGATAACGGCGTTGTTGACATAATCCCAACACTCGTCGTGGAATGCTGTTATAGGGCATCAAAGAGAATTTTAATCCTGATCATACGAGAGTCCATTCAACTAATAAATCTAAACCTTGTTGACTGATCTCCTAGTTGAGTTAGTCAAGCGTTGTACTGTTGTTTAAAATGATTCTCAGGTTGTGCTGATCAGAGCTGCACAGGTTTTATTGAAGTTGATTAACTACTTTTGTGATTTTGTTATGATTCGTCAAGGCTCTTTTTGGGGCGTTCTATCCTGCTCCTTAAAGACACCCTTTGGATTTGTGGGACGAACACGATGCTAACAATTGAACTTCCTGTCGAGTAATTGCATGCAGTTTACTCTTGCATTTGAGGCTGTTGAGGTTCCATCCCGTCACATTTGGTTTTTTGTTTGTGTTCCTTCGCTTTCGTTTTGCCTGCTTTGTTTGCAAGAGAAGTATGTGTCGTGCAGATTGTCTTTTATTTAGCATAAAATGTTCTGTTTTGTTTTACGATTAATACTAATCACAGGAAGTACTTCTTCAAGTGGCAAAAAAGACGAAGGTTCGAAACCGGTCGTGTCGAATAAATCCTCTGACAAGGAAAAGGAGAAAGACAAAGACCAGGAGAAGGAAAAAGACAAAGACAAGACGGAGAAAAGCACCGACAAAGATAAAAGTAAAGAAAAGGACGATAAAAAGCCCAGCAAAAGCCCAATCAAGTCTATTGACGAGATCCGACGTGATAGGCAGGAACGACAGAGGCTGGAGAGAGCTAAAGAGATCCGTGAGCAGCGTGAACGTGAGCGACAGGAACGACTTCGACGAGAGCGTGAAAGGCTTGAACGGGAGAAAATGGCCGAACGACAACGTGAACGTGAACGAGAAAGAGAACGTGAAAGGAGAAGGCTTCAGGTTATACGTGAACGAGAGATACGCGAAAGACAAGAACGTGAACGAATACGGCTGCAGCGTGAAATAGAACGGCAAAGAGAACTGGAACGCCAACGGGAACGTGAACGCCGTGAACGCGAGGAACGTGAACGCCTAGAACGGGAGAGGCGTGAGAGACTTGAACGAGAAAGACTTGAGCGTGAACGAATTGAACGTGACCGCTTACAACGCATTGAACGCGAACGATTGGAACGTTTGGAACGTGAACGCCTTGAACGAGAGCGTTTGGACCGTCAACGTTTAGAACGTGAACGATTGGAACGTGAACGTCGGAGTCTAAAGCGCCATGGTGCGCCCTTTGAACGTGGAGATCCAGCACATGCTCAGAAACCAGTTGGTTTTTGGGAAGAACCTAAACGGGCTGCTTTGGGTGACGAAAGACCGCGTGACTTCTTCAGCGGTTCAGTGGGTGAACGTGATAGCAGACGTGACCGTCCTGAAGTCTCCTCAGACAGGCGTGATTCTCGAGGAGGCCATCGTGAAGACGGTCGGCAACCAGCTGGAGCCGGTCGCGAACGCAGAACCGAGGAGTGGAGTCGAGCAGACGAAAGGCGTCTTAAGAAAGATGAGAGAGAGCGACGTAACGAAGAAGGACACCGCGGGCGTGACAAACCTCACGACCATTCCAGAGGAGCACGTGATCGTGACTTGCGTGACAGCCGTGGCAACCACGAGACTAAGGCCTGGGCTACTGGAGGTGACTTGTCTGGGGCCGGTGTTGGGGTTCTTGGAGCTGGAATGGATCCACAGAAGAGCTTGTCCATCTTATTGGAGCGTGCTGGCGTCAGGGGCATCTTGGGCTCAGGCGCCTCTGCTCAAGGACATAATGTGCGAGGTGATTTGAGTAAATCTATAGAGGAACCCAATTGGCGTGCCCCTGACCCTCGTGATAGCAGGCCGCCTATCCCTCAAGCTGAAAGAGGGGGGAACTTTACGCACGGGTCCTCAGGACTCGCAGACATCAGAAATGTCCATGTTGATGCACGTTTCGGTTCGCTGTCCATGGACACAAGCCATCGCTCTGTGGCCATCACTGGAGGAGTGGAATCTAGCAAGCCACCCGCGCGAGACTGGCGAGACACGCATGGTGGTAGCCTGACATCTAGAGACCGCGATGCGCTTGCTGCCAGGGAGAGGGAGCGTCCACGAGATCGTGGCGCGGAGGTCAAGCAGAGCATTCCTCGTCCAGGAACCATGTATGATGCTCGGGATACCCGTGCACCGATCAGCCGTGACTCCATACCGCCTAGAGGTGCGTGGGGAAATGGAATGGACTCGCGCCAAAATGCCACTCCTTCTCTTGGCGTGTCAAATGCAGGCCGCCCCTCCGTTGACGATAGGTCGCGTGCTGCAGTCACTGCCCGCGACAGTGCACCAACTCCTTGGAACCAGCCCGGAAGTTCCTTGGCGGCTCCTGTTGCCCGAGGTGCTTACACTGGAAGTGCAGTTCCCGGTGCGGAGAGGCGCCATCCTGTCGCAGGCGACGTCAGATATGAGCCTTACAAGGGCGCCCCACGTGTCAGCATGATGCGGCGGTACTGAAACATTGATAAACTTCTGACGTTTCTTTGATTCGGTGGACGATTTTAGGTTAACTTCAAGTTTTAGGTGTGAAACAGTCCTCTGTGAATCTTGTACTTGCGCAAGTTTTAGAACCTAGTGTGAAACTTGGTAACTTGCTCGACAATTTTGGCATTTTAGAGTCTCGGAAATTCTCAACTGAGCATAACTTGTACGTTAGAATTAACGCCTGTTCATTTTGATTTAGCTTGTAATCCAAAGTAATCATCCAATGGGAGTTATTTAAACAAGAAGAGCCCTGTTACGGGTAGATGATCGCGCCTGTAGTTGAACGTACAATAATAGTTCAACATCGTGGTATAGAAATTTCAAAATCTTGATGCATCTATCGTCGTGTCCTTTCATCTTACCTGAATGAGGCTTTTGATCTTTCGGCTTTCAATATCTTTCATTTCGAATAAATGGCATGGATTAACAGTTGTTGGAGTCTCGTTATGCGTGAAAATTATGTTGGACTACGCTCAAGATCGCGAAAGTTAAGGACGAAGCAATCTTGGAAGCGAATCGTAAACATGGATGAATGAAGCTTGCAAAGCAGTCTGTAACGTCCGTAATGCAAAAATAATTACTACGCCAAGTGCTATGGATGATAAAGTCAAGGGATAATGATGTAAACGAATATAAGTTTGAGAAGAAGAAATCATTAATTCTTGCCGAATTTACCCTCCCCGTCAGCGTGTTACAGTTAAACAATGAAGGATCAAGATGGAATTTCGCGGAAAAACGAAAATGTTGAAATGGTTTTGGACGTAAGAGTCGCTTACCAAGGGATTTGACGAAAATTGTTATTGTTCGCAAAGTTTCGTCGGGCTTATATCTCGTTAACTTATTAACCCTTTAACTCCCAAGATCTCATTAGTAATTCTCCTTACTGTTTACCATACAGTTCTTGTGATGTTAGTTTTGAGAATTTGGTATTGGATCAACTACTAATCCTCTATATTTTTCTTTATTTTTGTCACTTATCTGCTTGATATTGTATTGATATCGCAAGGAGAAATTCCGTCTTGGTCACTTATGGGAGTTAAAGGGTTAAGGTACTACCTAGTCGTAGTGGTGAAACAAACACGAGTAAATGATGTTGCACGGGTCTCCAGCTTATTTATCTTATGGCATTCAAATAGATACACTCCACTCTAGTCCGCCTCTCCCCTCCCCTGGTGCCTTACCCACTGGTCATGTTGAACCTATTTTGCGTGGTCACGTGTCGGTGGTTGATCACTTGATGTTCCCATGCGGTGTTCAGCTTTTGTTTGTTTCACCATTGGAAACCTTGTGCTTTTTATCTTGCTTTGGTAAGTTGATGCAGGTAACTTGTTTTGTTAACACTTGTGTCCCAGTACAGGCAGCACGGCTGAAGGAAGCGATGAGGTGAGTTACAAGCTTCTGCAAACTTAATTCCACAGTGAGCTTGCGGCATTTATTAGAGCGCTTTTCGTTGAGTGTCGTAAATCCAAAGTTTCACCAAGGCCAATCAGAACAAAGGAAAATACTTCTAAGAGCCAATGAGAACTAAAGGTATAAACAACCAAACTGTCTAAAGCGCGGGAAAACGCGGGCGACCAGGTCGTGATTGGTTTTAGTTTTGCACCCGATTGGATGAGAGAGTTTCGCGAGTTTTCTGGACCAATCACAGAGTAAGTAATTGCGAAACCAATATAATCTCAGATTGTTTTCGACACTGAAAACTGCTCTAGGTTTGTCACCAAACTGACTTTACCGGAAGAAATTCTGGCGATATCCCGAGAATGCTGCAAAACTACTGTGGCATTGAACTTTGGTTGACTGAATTCCACAAAAGAACTTAAATAAATAGACTCTTCTCTCTTGAGTGTATTATGAAGAAAATTGTCTTTTATTTTTGATTGGCCTTGTTCAATATTTTTCCCTGTAAAAGTAGAACATAGTGGTGACCGGCATTTAAATTTCAAAATTCGATATTCTGTCTGGCAAATAAGGATGACAAAAACGCTTCTTATTTCCTCGCACGCTACATGCGCTGTAACTTCATGATTTTCAATTCGTTTGCAACTGCAGTTAAATAACGTGTCCAAATCTTCAGCTGACGTCACGGTTACTGATAATAATTGCATTTACGTATCGATCTTAAGTTTTGTGAAGGAGGAAGCCGAGGAAGGGAGTGGGGGGTGAGGCGTTGGATGTTGTGAAGGTGAAAGTGACAGTTGTCACAGAATTTCTTAAAAGTGACTGATCGATTCGTTCGAAAATGATTTAAATAAGAAACTCTACAGTACTTACCTTTACGTTTCAGGTATGTATGGTCTTCGTTTTCCTTGAGGTATCCATTGAGGTCTTCTGGAGAGTTCTTGTCATAATTTTTGTACTTTACTATTTGCTTTTTGTAATAAAATTCAGTTTCTTTTTGATATGGTTGTGTATTTACTGTATCCGGTTTTAACATTTAATACCAATCCCTTGATTGCGCGCTGTTTATCCGCTTTGTGCCGACGGAGCTGAGGGAAGGACTACAGCCGCCGCCGCGCCCCCCCCCCCCCCCCCCCCCCCCACGTTTTGGTGCGGAAATTATCACAATCACTGCGTGCGAGTTAAGCCCCCTTTCCGACCTTTCTTCGGGGAGGGGAGGGGCGCCGTCTCGTTTCCCAAACAGTGGCTGGTAGTCATGCCAACATATATGTCGTGGTTCCATTTTATTCTTGATTCAAATTTTATTTTCTCTTGTTTTAAACTCATTATCATACATTACAACACCCAAACACAAAAGAAAATAAAATTTGTACCAAGGATAAAATTGAACCAGAACATATACATGGTGTTCAATTGGAAGACTGCCTCATCATTTATTGCTACGAGATATTTAGTGACTACTGATAAGACAGAAAGCACGTTTGCTTGGGCTAGCGAACTATGGCAAATTTAAGAATGGGTAAGGAACGCTCTGACTTGACTGACGATAAACTCACCTACTC